CCATGTGGAAGCTTTGCTGTCTTCACAGTGATGTTTCTTTGCAGCTTTGAGTGGTTTGACTGCTCTGCAAGCCTCATCTCTTCCCAGCATCCATAAACAATTGCTTTTTTTCCCTAGAAGTGAAAAAAGATGGAAGAGGTGGAAACCCTAGGGATAAGAGGGTCTCTGTTGAATTTCCTCGGCTCTGAAGAGCTGACAGGCATAAGAAGCCAAGGTTTTAGAAATGTGTTAGACGGGGAGATGGCAAGGAGCTGGTCACCGCAGAAATATGCCAACTAGCATTTGCTATGCAGTGGGCAATGCCAGCCTCCTTTTGTTTGTTCCAGCCTTGCTCCAAACCAGAGGATGATTCTGGGTCTTTTCCCTGTGCTGCTTCTCACGGTGGTTTGCATTCAGAGCAATTACCCTGCTACTGTGCTATGGCCATTGGTAACTATTTATGAAGCTCTCAAACACAGAGGACTACTTAGCAACCTTGATGGTGATGAAAATTTTAGGAAGTGACTTTTAACAGGACTATGGTGATTGTACATATTTCATAATGTGAACATCCCAAAGGCATCAGGAAACACTGCCTTATGCTCCTCTTGGTTTTTTTGTGTCTCTTCAGTTTGCCCAAAACACTTTTTATCTTTTAAGAAAGACTTTTTTTTTTCATTCCTTCTTCCTTTTTTTTTTTTTTTTTTTTTTTTCCCAAACACTCAAGGGAATTAAACTCACAAATTCTTCCTTTTTTTTTTTTTTTTTCTCTTTTCCCAAAGCATCAAGGCAATTATACTAACAAAAGACAAAAGTTAATTGAAAAAAACAGGTGCCATTCAACAAAAGTAATTGCAAGCATATTCCTGTACTTAAGTTTCAGGGCATATCACAGAAAGCCTAAGATTAAAGGAATGGACAACGTACATGCTGGCTTCTTATGTTTATGTTTATGAAAACCTAAACCGAGGAAAGGAGAAGTCTGTGAATGTATGAGTGATTATTCTTTGTAAATGCATGCTGAAAGAGTGGAATTGAGAAATATATTGAGAGTAACTGCTCCCAGCACAGCTAATAAAAGTTGCTTGAAATAGTCTGCGTCAAGGTTTTGAATTGGCGTTTATTTCTAAAGAAAATGCAGAGAGAGAAGTCAGTAATGGTTTCTAGTGTATGGTTTGCTTGTACCCCTATTCTTTGCAGGGTACTCAATTTATAAGTTATCTGATGCTAAGCCATTTTCTTGTTCTTGTTTAGTTGCTGAAGTGCAAATGGATCAGGTTGCACTGACCTGTGTGCACAAAGGAGAAAGGAGTAGGAGTTGGCAGTTGCATACAGTTAAAAGCATCAAGTTTGAGGATTCAGGTTTTTTTAGTGCAAATCCAGCATGCAGTTTTCCCCCTCTGTTTGTAAATATTGCATTTATTGTTCCTCAAGTTTTGGTGGTAGAATCTTCAAGCCTGTTTATCAGGCAAGACTGGAGGTTCCTTATAATCATTTTGGTTTATTCATTCTGTTTCAAACTCATGCCATGGGCTTAATACATTACTTAATAATACTCAGGCTTGTACAAATACATTGTCTTGCTTCACTTCTGAGGATGATTCTTTTCTTTCTCCAGACAGTCAAATAAAAAAGGTCAAAAAACCTCACTAATGGTGTAACTTCATAAACAGTGATGTTGCAGTGGATCTAGCTGATGTGTTCTCAGTTTAGGATATCTGATGTATATTTCATAGCTGGCTTGTTACCAGGACCTGCTCTAAGAACTGGTTGCCCTCTGCATGTACAGGGACATGTCTGTCTTCTGGCATAGTGGATATTTTCAAGTGCGGTGGGACCAAAAGCATGGAATTTATCTCCTTTATATGCTCTCTGTGGTCAATATTGCATTTCTGAATGTCTTCTAGGCCTCTACGTACCATATGGTAAATACCAAAGCTGAAGGTAAGATGTATCAAGCAATCCTCTCTTATAGAGCAGAATACATCCTCACCTTATAGAGCAGGAACATCCTGGACCACCAGCAGTGGTCCAAGATGTTCCCTTTCCCCTTTACTTTCAATTAATAGTTTATCAATAATCTGAATGTTTATATGTCGGTAATAAACAGGTTGATGTTTGCTATGTTACCTGCTCGGGGACCTTTTTATAATCAAATGTGGATACCTGTATTGTTTTTGTTCAGATATCTTATGTTCAATAAAGAGAATCAGCTCTTTTTTAGGGTAAAGTTCTTCCCTATGGCTAGTTATGATTCCAGGTCATATCTAAAACAATTCAGATGAACCACAGCATAAAGCATCCTGTTTCTTCTCACTGCTGGCAAATGGAGTTGAGGGTGATTAGCTCAAAGGTAGAACATTTACAGAGTATTAACTGGGTAAGATGAGACTTTGTAGATGGTATAAAAGAATACAGAGAGAAATATCATAGGACTACCATGGAGCAAGGCAACATAAGAATGTGTTTTAAAACTTCTGAGCAGAAAATACACAGTACAGACTAGATGAGAGTGATATATTTCTGAGTGCCAGCTGAATACAGCTAATATTGTTGCAAGCATGTTTGTATTTCACCTTTCTTTTGCACTTGATTGTTCTTTATTATCATGAAATATTATGGGCCTGACTGTGACCTGGTGCCGTCACAAGCAAATTAGGCCTATTACATTGAAAAGATGTAGTGTATATGTTCTAAAATAAGAAGATCTCAGTATAGGTCTTGCCTTTACCTCAGATGTCCTGTTTGGCTTCAGAGAGTCCTTTAGTTTCTCCAGGCCTTAGTTTTCATCTTAATTTCTCATCACATTTCTAATTTTCAAGGGGTTTGGAGATATTAAAAGAAATGAAGCCCTTGAGTAAAAGAGTAATATTTGACATAAGTCATATTTCAGTTATCCTTGTTTGTTCTTGGGACAGTTGGTGACTCAATTCTGTCTTGAGCTAAAGCCTCTGCAGTCCCAATACTGGCAGTTCTGGTGAGACTAAGTAATATGCAGATCAGTGTATGTAGGTCAGTTCAGTCTTCTAATGTTCAGAGTTTGGTAGCTCCAGATATTTATATACTGCTCTTAAGATTTGAGAGTAATGAAAATAGTGGCTCATAGTAATAAAAAAAAACCAGCAACAGTCATATCCCATCCATCCGTGAGACATAGCTCACGCTGTATTAGCTGTCTTTTGCCCGAAAAAGATGCAATAAAAGTGTTTCTGGGGGTGAGAATGGAGTTGTGAGGAGGAAGCTCTGAAAGCACCTGATTGTAGGTTCACAAGATTTAACTAGGGCAAAAAGTCCTTTGCTGAATGAATACTGTAGTTGGGTGTTTCTGAAGAGACAAAGTGCTCAAGTCCGTGAAATGCAATCCTTGTTTCTTTGGAGAGTTCATATCCCCATGAGGCCATGTCAGGTCAGGAATAAGAATGCACAAAGCTGTATTTTATCATCTGAAATAGCCCAGTTACAGATGTGCTTTAAGCCATCTGAATAAACAAGAGTAAAAAGGAGGTACATCAATATACAGTATATGCAGGTATATGCAGTTTTTAGGGCTGTTTGTCACTAGAATCTTTCTTTTCTTGAACTGAATTGCAACCAGCAGGTCCAGCATTTAGCCCGAACTCTCCTGATTATAGCAGCTAAAAGAAAGGAGGGGAAAAAAAAAAAAAAAAAAAAGCCTAAAAAGGTAATCCCCACCTGCCTGCTTGGTGTCGGTCCTCATGAAGCAGAGATTTTTAAACAGAGGTGAATACTAAGGAGCAGAAGACTTTGCAATATGTGTACTTAAGATCTGAGAAGTGAAGGCAATACTAGCTGCAAGTCTTTCAGAAACTTTTCACAGATCCTAGCAAAAGAGGGGAAGAAAAAAAAAGTTACAGCTTTCATCATGGGAAGGTGGGGATTAATCAGAACACAAATAGTCTTGTTATTGTTAACACTTTTATAATGGCTATTAGTTAGTGCGCATGATGATTAAGGACTAGAGCTGCCTCTGATTGCAGTCAGTGGGAAATGAATTAAGGTCTAAATCAGTGTTTGAACTTCACTTTTGATTTCCTGAGAAATAATAAGCCTTTGGACTGAACAGCGTCAAATTTTCTATCACTGGAAATAAATGTTTCTCTTTCCTCACGCATGTATCAGCTTGAAAGTCAGACAGGTGACAGACTGGTGGTTTAACCCTTAGCCTTAATCTAGAGTTGTCCCTTGGATGATAGAGTTAAGATCAGAAACATGGCCGATCACCAGAGATGAACTTGAGGCTGTGGTGAAATGGGAGTGGTGCCTAGTTGCAGTTAATACTGCTGTAATCCGGATTGCACATCAGACTAGTGACCATTTGGACCAGCTGCACAGAGCCATTGAGGCGGATGATGCCTTTCCAGTGGAAGCAAAACATGTGCAGTGCTGTATGCTTTCATATTGCTGCTTGTTAATTCAGAGTAAAAAAACAGTCATTTTCTGAGTTAATCTGACGTTTCTTTTGTTAATGGAATATTGCTTTTATTAGATCAGAAGAAATACAATGTCTCAGGATTATTTTATTATTATTATTATTTTATTAATTAATAATAGAATATTGATCAATCAGAATGTCAGTTAAGCAAATGTGCATAAAATGCCCAATATAAAGGAACAGCTAGAATTAGTATTCTGAAAAACATCCCTGTGGTACTAATTAAAGTATACTGTATCTCACCCTGGGTTGAACTACATCCTACCACCCAAACCAGAGGACACATGAGAATTTCGGGCACTAATCAAAAGACAAAATATTCTCCAGATGGGGAGCAGAAGAGAAGTAAAGGGATCAGAAATAAAAAGCTCATAAGTGCAATGACCTTGATTCAATTTTATAGAAATTTTACCTTTTATTTTAGGGATGACTCAAAAATGTTTTCAAAGCTTACTTGTTAGTATGGGTTTATTTCCAGTTAAAACTTATCTGTGGAGTGAATGCTTCTGGCAGTATCACCCATAATATCTTTTGTTTCAATGCGCTTGCGGCAATATTTCTCTTACAGGTCTATGATGGGATCCGGTAGAGAGCCTGACCTTGTGCACTTAGAGGCCAAGACAGTGGACGGTCGTAAGTACATCACTTTCCAAATAGCATGTTACCCTGGGCTGCCCTCATTCCTGGGACCACACAACATGATGGGGATCTGACTTCTCTTTACCAATTCATTCACATAATACAAGGGATTTCTGCTGAGTATATAGGAAGGAGAGGTAGTTAATAAACACCATTTAGGGTGAGAATGTACAATACTGTTCTTCCTTACCTGATTTTTGATGATGGGAACATGACATTGGAGAAAATTTCTGCGTCATGAAGTCCAGCTGCTTGTTGTTTCACAGAGTACATAATACCACCTCGCATGCAGCTTTACCAAACTGCTTTAACAGACTTGAGATGTTCTGCCTTAGGTTCTACCTTTGAAAGCACCTCACTTCTCTCACATTAGAAACCTTTTAATGACCACGCTGAATGTATTCTTCACTGTAATTGCTTGTCCTATCATTGTCCTTCACTTTCATGAGCTCCTCTCCCTCCCTCCCTGCCTCTTGAGGTGCTTTTCTCCACTCCAGTGGCCCCTTTTACCTGCAACTCCAAAATATTCTCCTAATTGGCTCTAAATTCTCTCAGGCACCCTGAGCTGGCCTTTTCTCTTCCCACCCATGCTTCCTTCAAGGTTTATCTTTGAGCTCTTCTGCCTTGGCAGATTTTCCTCCATGGATTTCCTTTCCACAGTGCCGGATTGCCTCAGGCAGGCATGACACAACAGGAGCCTGGATGCCATAGATCATCTCATTGTAATTTCTTATTGTTTCCTCTCTAAATGGCAATTTTTCTGTAACATAACAAGCAGATTTTTTGCTACTTGTAATATGATTGTATTAATGATGCAGTCAATTAACTTCCTTAAGAAATGGATAAAATTCTCCCCTGAATTATACCCCCAAATTAAGTATGTTACTTAAAAGGTATATTCTGTCATTGTAAACTGTATGAAAAGCTAACTTTAAGGTAATCACTCTTTTAAGTCACTTAAATTTAGCATGAAAGACGTTTTTTGGGAGATGAATTTTAAAAGGAAACTGTTGGGATAGAAATCATAAAGTTTTAGAGGTCTTACCTTTTTAAGATACGCAAGTTTAGTAAAAGTGAAGGAATTTGTCTTTATCTCTTAGCATTTATGTCCTATTATTATTGCTCATCTCATTTTCACTTATGTGAATGTGGCAGCAAGGCTAAGGACAGCAGAGTTTCTGTGGACATTCTAAATGATAATAAAGTACCCTAATAGGACAGTGCCTAACTCACCACACAGTGTTACTGATTTAAGGCATTGGGAGCTTGAGCTCACTGAGATGAAGCAGTGCGTTGATATGTAATGAGCTATTTTCTGGGACTTGGTGCTTTTGAGGGATGTATAGCTCATGTTGGGCCAAGAAGGTGGATTCTGTGCTCCAAATGTCATGAATAGTCTTGTTTGAATTTTTAGACTGGGATAAGAATATTTTGCACAGCTATTTCTGCAAAGGGCCTCTTGAGTTCTTACCACACTAATATCCTTTCTTATAGCATTTAAAACAGAAATCAAGAAATGAGTAGATGAACTTGACTTACTGAGGATTCAGGCATATTACTGAAGAATTGTGGAATAACAAATTGTTGTTTGCCAAATGAGCTCTAGTAACTGATCCTACACGTGTATCTTGGCTCAGTTGTGAGGCAACACAACTTAAGCTGCACTGTTTAGACAGCGAGAGAACTACAAACATGAATCTAGCTCTGTTGTCCCAACCTTCAGCTGGCAGTGACCTCCCTTGAAGAACGGTACTTAGGATGAAACTTATACCCCAAATCAGGAGGTCCGCAACTCATCCACAGCGTAAGCTAGCATGTTGGACTTGCATTAATTGCACACCCTGTTTTGCCAGTTCTTCCTGGCTGGATGCAGAAAGCTTGGAAAACATATCACAGCACTTCTTGTCAAAAAACATTGGGAAGCACTGCAGGTCATAGGATTTTGTGACTGAGGAAGGCTAAGAGCATTCATATGGTTAATTACTCTAGTTACTTTGACTGACTGGGTGTATTCAGATCACTGGGTTCCTTGAGTCATAAGTAGTGAGATGGTCTCCGTTCCTGAAAGAAAGAACCGTGATCATCCAGTTGATGAACAAAGCTTTCTCTTCTGGAGGGAAGCGAGTGTGCTGTTGCAGGTGAAGTGATGGAGTGAAGTGTTTTAAAGTGAGAGAGAAATCTTTTTTTCAAGCTGAGTCTAATTTGCAAACATTTTGTGTATGTGTGTTTCTTATTTATATTTTGATTGGCAGATCTCTTTTGTGAGTTTACCAAGTGTAAAAAATTCAATAAAAGGATTATATTTGAAAAGGTAAACTTGCCAAAACAACACAGAGAGGAGTGAAGGGAGGTGGGGTTGGAACCACCACACAAAGTATACAATAAAATGAAAGATCTTGAAGTGGAAACATAAGGACTAACTGAACTCAGTACAAGTAACAAGACAGCTTCATTCTTGTGCTGCCATCTTTTCCAGCAGAAGCTGAGCCCTGAGTGCAGCTTGGGTGAGGAAAAGTAGAAATGTCAGCAGAGTGTGGTGTTAGCCCATCTCTCTGGCAGTGTTGCCTGAGAATATCTATCAGCAGAAACCTTAGTCGTGAACTTTTTCTGCTAGAATACCAATAAGTCTGCTTCTCTGCTCCCTGATTATGGGCTGTCTATGCATTTTATTTATTGTATTTATATACATAATGTAAAAGGTTTACAAGGACTGAAATAGGAGTCTCTTAGTAGGCATAAATCAGTATAAATTCACTGGCTTGGTTATTTACACCTGCTGAGGATTTGGTCAGCAATTTTGTGCTTGAGCTCACAACTTGCCTTCTCTCTTTCTTTCTCTTTTTCTCTTTCTCTCTCTCTTCTTTTTTTTTTTTCTTTACTTTTTTCTTCTGTGATCTGTTTTTTTTTTTTTTTTTTTTAAAAAGCTTCTTCTAAATATTATGGAAAAAAATGAGTACAGAGTGAGCAGTTTAGTGGTATTGATGGAGACTAACAGAGTTGCAGGAGTAAACAGTGCCATTTGTGTTTTTAATCCTGCTGTGTAAATTTTGGAAAGCAGTAGATGAATTTTCATCTCATCAGATATCCAAGTAGAGAAATGATGTTTTCATTTAATTTTTAAAGGCTTCAAGCCCAATCTGAGTCAGGCTGGGACTGAGAGTACAGTAGTAAAACTGATTTTCCAGTTGGAAGAAATTCACATGAACCTTATCTCACATTTCCATTTGTATCCCTGAGTGTCTCTGTTGTTGTGCTTTGAATTTGGAACAGGATCAAAAGCAGACTGGCAACATCAACAGGAATTATGGCATTTTTCTTTGCCTATTGTCAGGTCAACACCCCACTAAGACAATTAATTCCCTGCTGTTCTTAACCAGACCGTAAGCCCATTGTGTTTTCTACCATAGTTGGCAAGCAAAGTGACCGGGAGAGGTTAAAACCAGGTTTGCTCATATGCAATTTCAAGTTGTTGTAGAAGGTGCATGAAGTCAAGGCCACATTGACTTTATGTTTGTAAAGAATTCATTAGCCCCCTTAAAGATTTTGAATAAATGTCTTTCTCTGATTTGAGCTAGGGAGGTTTATCCCATTAAGGTCTGATTCATGCCCATTGACTTGGGACCATACGTTTTATTCAGATGATTCCTATTAAGTATTCCAGGCTGGTGACTGGAAGAAGAAATGGAAGATTCCTCCAAGGCATTTGGAAGCTAACTGGGTACCCACTGGCCCTCCAGAGAACAGCAAATCTTACTCAAAAGATGTCTAAGTAATAGTTTCTTTAGACACAGGTCAAGAAAGTCAACTTCTAAATTTGAGACATGCATTTGTTTGTTTATATGGATGTCAATTACTTTATTGAGCTAAAGTTTTAATATATTTTAGTTTTGTGTTTTCTTTCATTTTAATGAGTAGGTGAAAAAAAGCAAAGGGGTTGCCTGGAGCGCTGGTGAAAAGATAGAGTACCTGATATTTAGAAAGTGCTGCTCTTCTCTTTTGCAATTCTGTTTTACAAAACTTTTTAAATTAAAATGTAATTTAGATGCTGTGATAATTGTGGGTAGGACCAAAGCATCACCTGGGATCAATTGTCATGTTCTACTGATTAACAGGGACTGAGCATCTGGCCAAGGATGTCAAATCACAAAGTTGTGCTAAGACTTTAATTTCTGTTTTCACAAGCTGTTGCTAGGAAAAACAAAATAATTTATTCTGTAGAAAAAGTGGTCAACCTAGTCTTACAGTCCTTTTCTAACATAGCTAGAGCTATGAGTTAATTTCTGGTGTCCTAAACCTGTGCAGTGTTGGTTTTTAAATTATTTTTATTTTATTTTTCATTTATTTTTGTTCTTCCTGATGGTAGCTGATTTATCCTGGAGAATGAGGCTGGTTAGTTTTTCTTATTATATCTTCATGATAGAAAGAGAAGAGGATATGCTCCCCCATTCAAAGAAAAATTCCTGACTGATGTGCAATGAAGAAAAAGGAGTAGCAGGATAAAAACAGATTTGTGAGTAGTTAGTAAATGGGCTGGTTTCATTCACTGATCTTCATTGCTGGTTAATCACTTTGCAGTTGCTGGAGAGTTATGAATATATTCCCATATCATAAACATTTCACAAATGAGTATTTGGACCAGATGGAAAAGGATAAAGAGCAGTCTTATATTCCTTTAAAAAGGGAGTAGAAAGATTAAATTTAATTATCACAAAACATGCAATTAAATTGTGAAACCCGTTGCCACAGGATAATATGGATACTAGAGGTTTACATGGGCTGCGAAGTGTCCTGGACAAAAAAAAAAAATCTATAATCTCTTCTAGGCTTCTGCAGGTAATCACTTCTGGAGATGGGTTACATACTTGGAGCTACCAGTGAGATATATTGTCACCATGTTCTTATGGTTCATTAGTCAGCAAGTGACGGTCACCCTTCAAAGGCAGAAACTTTCCCTGATGTCTAAGATGCTTGATAGTGAATTAGGATACTCCATAGTAAATCTGCACGATAAAAAAGCGAAAGATTGCCTGGATGCTGTTTGCCTAAACTCATGGTCTGTCCTCTAATGGATTTATTTTATAAAGAGTAGGATACATTCCTCAATGAATTGCAAACAAGAACATAAAAAGGAAGAGGAGAAATGATACATCTGCAATGAGTAATACATCCATAATGATTAGCCCCTGTGGATATTTTTTTCTGATTCCCTTTATTATCAAACAACTTTTTTGCCATGGACACCCATGCAAGCTTAGACTGGCAAGCGGTACATATTAGCATTTGAGGTGTGAGCCAAAGTAGCACTTCCAAACAGTGTGTCCTGCAGGAAGTGTGACTCTGCTTTAGGAAGGGACTTGGCACCCTCCTGTGTGTGTTTGCATGGCCTCACCAACCTCTGCTAACCACTGCCAACTCTGACCCTCCACCAGTGGAGCCAAGAATATGTCTCAATGTCAGGCTGGATGTATTTCCCTTGAAAACATATTAGCTAGGACTAGAGCTAAACAGGTAAGTTTGTAACATCTCATGTCACAGTATCCCCCTGTGTCTCTATTCCTGAGAGTGTTAGAATCCACAATTCGTTTCAAAACTGAAACAGATTAATTTATTAGAGGTTTCTTTGTAGGACGTCATCATGTCCTAGGATGTGGGACATCCTTGTGTTCTGCGACTTTTCTCGCTTCCTCTTTAGAAGTAATTGCTATTCCCAGAAAAGAATACTACTCTGTATGTCTTAGCCTAACTAAATCAAAGTTTTTGGTGGGGATAAGAGCTGGGAGTTGCTATATATTCTTCTCTCTAGGCACAGGATGACTTTGTTGTATATTAAAAACAGCAGCTGTTGTTGGAGGTGAGGATTCTGAAAATGAAAAGCATAATGTCCTAATTACCTATGGCAGAGAAAACATCTGTGTGGAAAAACTAATGAAATTAATTCCAGAGCTTAACAACAGAATACATTAATTGTCATTAATGCTAAATTACAAAGCTCTGCCAATGGAATCACACAAAATATCCATGAGAATCAAATGCCAAAACAAAATCACTGAGTTAACATAGGCACAGCCAAACTTTCCTTAGGAAGAAAGAGGGCTCCATACACATCAAGAAACCTGTTTTTTCTTCTTTCTGTCTGTCATAGCAAAGGGAGATTTTCTTGGTGTGCACATCAGGAATTGGGAGATCAGTTTAACTGATTCCAGTGTTCTGCCCTTTAGTAGTTATTACTAGTATGTTAGAATTGAAGCTATGGAGAAGTGCACTGTAAAAGATTAGTAAATCTCTATCAGTAGTACAATCATTGCTATGTAGGCTTCTGTGATCATAACTGGAATAGATATATTCCATATTCCTCTGTTAATGCAGGACCAAATGGACTTCAGTCTCCTTTAACAGACAATGCCAGGTGCTTGGCATGGTCTTTGAAATGTTGTGGAAGAGATTCCTTAATCTTCCTTGCCAGCCAGTTCCAGCACCTTCTTGTCCTGCATCCCAAATCCTACGAAGCTCTGTGCCATCCGATTCAGTCTTGCATGTTGTGAAGCCACCTAGTCTTGCCCACAGCATAGCTCGGGGGCAGGACAGTCGGCTGTTTTGACCGATTGCTCCGCATGTGTCTTGTTGAAGTCAGGATGAGCCAGGTCTTCGCTCATATTCACTCAGGGCTCTTGAGCAAGAATGAAAGAGGCTGAATGTGGAGTCAGGTGCGGGCATATGTTATTCATGATACCGTGGATTGATTTTTAAATGTTAAGTGGGAATTGGTTATGTTGCAGATGGACAGAGGCATGTCTGTTCTACATGTATGGCTGGGAAGGAACATGTGGTACCATATGGTGCTAGGGGCAGACTCTGAGCCTCCAGCCTTCTTCCTTCCTGGAGCAAGTGGGAAAGAGTGAGCAGGCTGGGAGTTGTGTCTGTTTCTGCCCTCTCGTGGCTAATGTGGAAAAGAACATGTTCCTGTGAAGCAAAATACTCTTTGATTATGCTGTCTGGGCTGTATTAATTAATGTTTTGCGGTGAACTGTGAAAGCATAAAATGTTATAAACTGCAGTGACTAATAGTACTTAGCACTTTATATATTCCAAGACCTCTGTAAATGCCAGGGTAAAATGGTCCTCGTCAGACTTTCCTGAAGGTTTGTTACCTTGTATGTCTGTTTCAAGGAGAAGTCAACAAGCCTTAGAAATAAGCAGAGAAATGTCAAATGATAGATTTTAATTAAAACCAAGGTTAAATATGAAATGGGAAAAATCCAGTGATTTCTGTTTCAGTGGAAAATTTTGTTTCTCTGATCAGACGGTGGTAATTATATCAAACAAGGGTCTGTCCTTCTGACAAGGAATAAGATTAGTAGTAGCTCTAAGATTAAATGCCATGTAGTATTTCTGTCACATAAGTGCTAATACCAAAATCCTTCTCCCTGGAAAGGAGCTTTGTCCTTAAACAAAGTACAACTTCATAATTGAGCTGAAAGAGTCTAAATTGAATACTGAGAATTCTATATTCTGAGATAAATGACCACCCTGAAGAAATTTAATTTTTTTTTTTCAGATTATGGGTTAACAGATGAGCATCTTCCAGTGTTTCAGAAGAGGCACTGAGGAAACCTCATATGGTGATGGTGGATAAGGTGGCTTTAGAGCTGCATTTAGGCTATTTATGTTGAAGCATAAAACACATTAAAGCTGCTAAGGCCACTAATTTCATGTGAGATTGTAAAGATTGGCCAAATTTGACAGAATCCACTTGCATACACCTTCTCATTGTGAAAGAAGTAGGTAAGACTCCCGTACAGGAGATCTGGATCACTTTCCAGAATTTAAGTGTTGTAGGAAGCCCAGAGGTATGTCGTGGAAGAGGTGTTCAGTGGCTGCACCTTGGGATGTGTGTTCTCTGAGGGTGTTCTTGCTCTTGTGTATGCTTGACCATGTTCTGAAATAAGTGGAGCATGTGATCGTGAAGACACTGCCTTACACTGCAGAGAAATCCCCACCATGAGGTTGATAGGGAAACTCGAGAGGCTCATCATGGAGAATATCTGTCCTGCAGAACGGACACCAGTGTTCAGACCCATAGTCACTTTGGGAGTCACAGGATTCGAGTTTTGTTTGTTGCCTCTTTATAGTATTGTTCACAACTGTTGTTCCCTCACTTTGTTAGCCTTTTGGCTTAGGCATAAGCCTGAGTATTATCCAAGTAAACTCAACAGGGCAGGTGAAGGCACTGAAAGATACACCCTTCTAAATTTTATCAAACCCAAGCATTATGTTGTGCTTTTGAATGCTTCATGGAAGCACAGGAGTGGCCGGGTGTAGTCAGACCAGCAATGCTCGGCTTTCTCCTGAGGCAGTGGAGCAACATACAACTCTGACATCTGATTTAGAGCGGAGTGAAAGAAATAGTAGGAAGTTAAGCCAAAACAATAAAAGCGGAAGATCAAGGAGGTGAGCAACAGAGCAACAGGTGATCTACCAGGTAAGTAAGAGAAAGAAGTATTGTGTTGGAAAGAATGGAAGGTGTCGCTTAATTTCATGTGAGGTTGGGAAGCATAAATGCTACTTCAGCAAATGAGTTTGTGGCAATAGGAAGAATCTGCGCAGGATCTCAGAATCTTGTTTTTGTCTTTTTCCTTTCAGATGCTCAATACATCACCTGCAGGATGCAGAACTGCAGTGAAGCAACCCGCAGCAAACCCTTTCCAGGCTATATTGACCATAATTCTCTGATAGTCCAGGATGATTATGTCTTTGTGCAGGTGCAAAACAGCCTCTTCTCTTATTTATTTTGTTACTTTGTATTCTATTTTCTTTCCTCTGTTGTTTTGGGGTGTGTGTGTAGGTCTATTAATCCCCAATTAATCAGATAACATTGGATCCATTATAAAGGCACTCAGTGGCATGTTGTAGCTCATTTGAGTGTTATTAGGAGATTCTTCTACCTCTACCTCATGTGTCTCATCACCAGAGAGTCACAGAGTTCCTGGCTGGAACACCCACTACGTGTACTGGAATGCAGTGTCCTGCAGTCTTATCTGCACTTTAGGAATAGTGGCTCTTGCCCCCCAGCTTCAAGGGACATGTCACGCATCTGCTGTGACAAGGGCAGTAGACTATGGCTTGAGCATAAGAGGGAAACAGAGAAGGGATAGAGGGAGTCAGCAGAAGAACTGAAGGAGGAGTAATCAGGCTTTATGGTTATGCCTCACTTGTGATTACAGTGAAAAGGCTGGAGATGAGATGTATTCAGCCAAGGTGAGCTCCAGGTAAGAGCCAGAGAGTTAATTCAAACTACTGTAGGTTTAATGAGCCTGCTGCCCAAGTCCATTTGCTGAGAGCTTGGACAAAAAATGATAATAGAAGTACAGAGGATATGGAGGTGAACTGGAAATCATCAGGTTTCAACTGGTCTCCCATACAGTTTATATTCTGCCATGCTTAGAGGTGGAGGGAAGAGAGAGGACTGAGATTTCAGATGGAGCAAGTTGCTTGCTAATTACCCTTAGTTAATGAACTCAGTCATAAACATTAAACTAAATCATCCATAAGTAATTCTGGAACATACGTTACACAATAGCCTTTGTGTATTATGTGTCTGAGGCATAAATAAAATGTTTATGAGGCAAGAAAAACAGGGGCATGCATCATTGTTCAGACAAACTCTCTGATTTCAGAGTGACTTTGGGACACAAATGATACAGGAGCTGGGGAGATTTTCAGTGTCTGAATTGACTCATTGCTTTGCCACTGCTGCCTTGGTTTCGTGCTTGTCAAGATTGTTTGTATTCGCTGTTCTAACTTGATTTCACTGTGCACTATAGATAAGTCAATCCATTTACCTCCTCTAAATTCCATGCTGGGAAATGCTAACTTTTGTCCAACTTCTTAAAAAATATATATATTTTAAGAGTGTTAGAGTAAGAAATGGTTATTATTTTTACCTAATCTGTTATGAACCTTTATAATGTATCTTGCATTTTAAACTACTGCACTGCATTTTAAGGACTTGCTACTAAAAAGAAGTCTTGATAAGCCCATATAGAAGGTAATTAAAGCAAAGTTCTGCATGGAGGATCCCTTGGAATATTTATTCTTCAGTATCTTTCATCTAAGGATTTCAAAGTACTTTGCAAACATTGATTATGCTTCAGCAGCCCTGGGAGCCAGATAACACTATCAGCTTTCCCTTCTTCCTCCTCCCACACTCTTTAATAGGTGGTAGAGAAGGAAATCACACATCACTTTAAAACAGCATTTTCAAAGTATTGCTGATAGTATTTATACACTTAAATAGCCTGATTCACAGAACCACTAAATCACATCATCTTCTGTGTTCAGGAACCATGAATACTTAACTGATCTGGAAACACATGCAAATGGTGGCTTGTGCTGGGCCACACAGGAACCAGAGCCAGACAGAAAATAGAAATCAAGCGTCTTGTCTGCCAATCTGCTGATCTAACCAGTAACCTATAAAGCAGCTCTGCAAAGAGCAGACCTTTTTGTGCTATGGCAGAGGGCACATAAATGACCTAAATTAAGCCACGGCTTCACCTTCCCCAGGTTTTCACCTGAAATTCTAGTTTTTGTCTTTGCAGAAAATGGGATTTCTCTTACTCTGTTTTTTTCTTTTTATGACATAGTTTGATCAATAGTTATTTATCACCTATTACAGTGCTACAGTTTTAAGCCACGGTTGCTAATACAATGATATTTGCCTTGACAGATTTGCTTGATATTTTTCATGCTAATAAAAAAAAACTGTAAAAAATCCTGATGATAACTTGCCTACTTCTCTCACAGTTGACATCAGGAGGAAGACCACATTATTACGTTTCTTATAGGAGGAATGCATTTACACAGATGAAGCTGCCAAAGTATTCCTTGCCTAAGGTAGGCTACTCTTGCTGGAATGCCTATATGTACCTAGAGATATTTTGATCAGAAATTATTGGATCCTATTTATAATCACAGGGTTGGTTGCAGTGAATAAAAATGTCATTTTTCTTTCAGAGAACATCTGTATGCAGAAAAGAACTTGGACAAAGTCAATGCTTTGGCTAGTCAAGGGCATCAGCATGAAATGTAGACTGATGCTGTGGTCTATGTCAATCCCTATTTCATTATGATTAGCTAGCAGTGTTTTGAGGGGGATTTCTTTGGTCTTGAAATTCTGTTTTCCTGTGTGGGTCACTTTTTGTGCTTTGCCCCATTAATATATTTTAATGGGAGGCAAGCAAAGAGATTCTTTGTGTGTCTGCTCCATATCTTCCCTAATTAAGAAGAGTGGTGAGTTGGTATTGGAGCTTGAAAAGATATTGTTGCTTTCTGGAGATGGATTTTTTAAGAGACCTATCTAAAAATGTGCCAGGAGAGGAAAAAGTGCTTCATTTTGAAGAAATCATGGTTTTGCAGCTGAGCTTCTAATGGCTTCTTAGAGAAATACAGAATGTTTTTTGAGGGTTTTTTTATTTCTTGATAGCATGGCTTTAAAGAAATTTAAGCTTAAAAGTGGCAAACAATCCTGCGGTTTCTATGCAAGATCTAGACTCTGAAGGTAAATGGCAATCCCCGATTAACTTCTGGAAATGCCAAAAGAAAAGAAAATAAATGCAAGATCAGCCCATACTAGGAAATTGAAAAAATACCAGGTTTTATAGATGGAAGTATTAAAAGGGGGTAATTTGGCTATAATTGCAGCTGGCTTTCTTTGGCTGCTCACCACATTTAGAGTGAATTGACTGGAGGTGGTCTTCATCGTATCCAAATTGCGGCTCAAACCCATGCCGTCAATGCCATACCTTACCTGCTCTGTCACTGCTTTGCTTCTGCTTACATCAACTGAAAACCCAAACTTACAGGATTTTGTGAACTTTTCCAGAGGTCACAAAACAGAGAAAACACAAGAGACCAATCCTGCATAAGGTAACTTCAGTCAACTATTTCCTGCAGAGATCAACACTTTTTCCTAGAAATTAACAGATTTGGGGAATGAATTCCCAATGTACCTGTTTCCAAACTCTCAGGCAAACCCTGTACTTTATGTTAAACTTTGTCTGTCCCAAAATCTTCAGTCATGTTTAAAAGCATTACTCTAAAGCATAGTTTAAACCTTCCTGTGCAAGCAGGAAAGAATTACTTTGTCAATACAAATCAAATTTAAACAGGTGTTTATTTGAAATAGCCCCTAGCAAAAGAACTGCATTTTTAGGACAGTTGTTGCAATGCCCCATCAGAGTTGTCGTTTACAGCTGATTCAGACCATCTGTAAGGAGACTGCTTGCTTCCAGTTGCCTCTTTCCCCTGCCTCCCGCTCTCTCCCCCCTTACTTCTCCAAGTGCCCACCGCCTCAGAGATCTCTGCAGAGAAAGAGAGGGAAAATGCACTGCTATTAAATTTCAATTTGTTCACTGTGAATGGGTAGCAATATATTTGTGTTATTTGACCTAAAGAAAGAGGCAGATATTTAAGGAGATAAGATGCTTTGTCACAGTCTCAGAAAATCTTCAAAGGTTGAAGAGCTACATTTGGCCTGGAAGAAGCTACAGGGAAACTGTGGCTGTCTGGGAGGTTGCTGTCAAAGCAGGATAGCTGCTTTTATTAAAAATGCACAAAGCACTGTACTATTCAAAGGAATCGAAACAAGCAGCTCCTTTTATGTCTAAATTCTCTTTTATCTTCTTGCACTAAGAAAGTAGGACCAAATATGGTAAACAGAACTGAGCAACTTCTGGAATTGAAGACTGAAATATCGAGCTCTCTGCCTCAGCTTGTCACTCCTGCACTGGAGCAGTGTGACAGTGGGCAGCTTGGCAGGTGATATTGCTTCTCAGGCAGGAATGGCCTATAGCAAATCCAAACCAAAAATATTCTTGCTGCAAGCACTAATTGTTAGCCTGATAGGCAGTTTGTGTAAAAAGCCTGGATAAACTTGGAATTATCTCCCATGTATGAATACATCTGTAAATTTGTGTACAGGTTGTGTTAACCCTGGAGATGATCTTTATTCAGACCTGTTAATTCCTGCAAGAGGTTGCTATTGCTCATTCTGTACTACAGCACCATGATGTGTGCATTGCCATACACCTTATAATGTAACTTATTGCAATAAGTCATGAGAATAATAATATGCACCTTAAACAGGATTCTCAGGCTTCTCAAGCTTTCTCCATTTTAGACCAATGCACAGAGCAGATAGCTGTTAATATAGAAGCAAGACAAGCAATGTCTCTTTAGAAGAAAGACATGTCCTTAAACCAGTGATGTGTTGAATGGGATATGTGGTCGTGATACTTCCATTTTGCATCTGTGACCTTCTTTGGACCTTAAAATGCACACCCTGACGAAAGAAGCAACAATGATCACCACTACCATCACCCTCCAGAAAAAGAAAAAAAATCTTGAAATACAGATCTTAAGAACAACTGACAATCCCAGTAACAGACAGGATAAAACAGGCATTACACAACACAACCCTGAAATTTTAACTTGCCAAGAAGAAAAGTTCTCTGACTAAATGTAAAAAAGGGCACCTGAAGCATATTTAGTGATTCCAAAAGCCTTGGCCTTTAGTTATTTGAGCAGGCATTTGATCAAACTCATGCACAATATTGTGATCTTCTGTCTTTGGAAAGACAAGAAAGACAGATGGCAGCGCTGAATACTAATGTACTTCCAGCATATACTGGAGCAGAGGGAGGGAATACTTAGCCTCTCTGCAGAGACGCATGAGGAGCCCCTGAAGATGGCAATGGCTGTGTAAGAAAGCTCCCTTGCTTTGTGTTCCTTTTCTCTTCCCTTTTGTAGGTCAGTAAAATGAATATCTGTTGGAGCAGAGAAGAATGCAGGGAAGCTATTACCCTGTATCAGGATGAATAGGTGTTTTTTTTTTTTTAATACTCCTCCCTCAAAGCCCTTGTTCCACATTAAAACAAACAAACAAAAAGGATTGTTCTGCTAGGATGACTGATTTGCGTATTACTTCCAGGGGAATGGTGTTCCTTGTGACAAATCTCATGCTCTCAATATGTCAGCATAATGTGATATGTTGGGACTGATACAGAAAACCTCATGAAATGAGTGAGAACTATCTGCTGTGGAGAAGAAGCCCAAATATAGTTTTCTGGATATGGAATAAGCTTTTACCAGAAATCTGCAGTGGATTACCATAAAAGAACTTTTGCCAATGTAATCTTTCATGTAGTTGGCAAAAAGTTAGAAACTTCAGTCTTTTCTCTTTCCCACTGGACTGTAGAGGTGATTTATTCCACCTGCACCTTTGGTAGACCAAGGCAGAAAAGTGGACACTGGAAAAGGAGAGAAGGTCTTTGTCAGTGCTCCAGAGGTTGTTTGGAAGCAAAGAGCAGCACTCTGGAGCTACGCACCAGTCTTAGCCTTGGCAGCACACTTTGGAGACCTGGATGTTAAACTGAATGGCTTTCTCCCCAAAAGTCTTTGATAATGGCACTGTGTGCACTTCACTTGGCTATAATGTGTTTGATTCTCATTACTGTGGGAATATAAATCTCACTTGTTGACTTATCTCTCTCCTGTGACCTCAACTCTGGTGTGAAGAACTCCTCAGCTATTCTCCATGTTTGAGCTTCAGTCCTTCTTTAAGGTTTGCACTTTACTGTGATGTGAAAACCTTGGTACTAGCATCAGGACTGAGAAATGACAAAGGCTTTCTAGCAAATGACTGCACAACTGCTGGCTCAGGTCTAGAAATGATAGCCAATAACTTAGGAGGTATCTCTCCCCTTACCATTCCTCTCTCCTAGCACATGAGCTAGAAAGTCCAGTTCATGAGTTTTCAGAGATGTCTCCCATTAAGGATTTGTTTTGATATTGGCTCAGCTGTTAGGACTGAATGTGATATGCTAGTGAATACTGATTTACCCAACATGGAAACTAAATGTCTCCAATGTTGTTCAAAGACCTTTTTCAAAAACGCACTATTGCATCTGTTGGTCAAGGCCATATTCAGAGGAATAATTAACTGATCCACAAAGGTAAGCAATTGGAACATTATCTTGGATTTTCTTTACTATGTTTATTATGTGAGTTCTGTCTCAGTCTTTGGTTTTCCAGGGTTAAATGCTTCCAGCCTTACTTGAATCTTAGACTTGCATCCTACAGCACTGTCTGATCAAAACTTAGGAAGTATCTAGGGAATAAATTATCTTATTTACCTGTTCAGCATTTATGAAATTGTCTTTTTTTCCCCTGGTGTTGATCAAGATATCTTCATGTCTCTCTCATCCAATAATTACAAAGCTACTGTTTAAAAGGATATTAATGAAATGCTGCATTGAGATTTTGCTTTTAATCTGTGTCTGTGTTTCAGCAGAGAGGTCTGTCCATGTTTATGTGCACATATCCAAAATCTTAAAATGGAGATTAGAACCGTGCTACCTGAAGGTGCCTGAAGCACATTAGGAACCATCTACTCCTAAAACTCTACCAGCATGTTGACTAGGGTGACCATCTGAAACAAGGAGCCTCTGGAAAGCAGCTGCAGCAGTAACTTCTACTAGCACAGCTGCAGATAGTAAAGCTGTGCAGCTGTACTGCTGCCGAGCTGTACCAGAGAGAGGATACGTGTTCACAACCACAGTTAGTAGAAGCGCATGGGACTTATTACCTTTCCTATCACCTTAGGAATTGACCCAATCTGTTCTCCCACAAAATCAGGTCTTTTTATGGCATACATTTTATTGCAACACAAAGCAAGTAAATCAAGTGAATATCCATCCACTCCGATACTCAGATCGGATGAACAGATAACTATTCTGAATCTTAACTTGATGGCAAATTAAAATTTATAAATCAGATTTCTTCCCCATAATATTTTTTCATCTTTGCATTGAAGGTCTCTATTCAGAGGTATAAACACCTTGTATACCCACAAGAAAGCAAATTGTCAAAGGTTATTATTACCAGAAAGAAAAAGTAGCAACAGTTTCCAAAGAATGTCATTTCTGATTAAGTTCCCAGTATTGCTTATGGAAAAACTCTGATTAATGGATGTGAAGCAATTTTGGGATATCTGTCCAAAGCAGACAGAACATCTGAATCTCTGGGGAGTCACCTGGTGCTAAGAAAACTGCATTCCTTTTCCTAACTCGACAGGTTTTTAAAGCACCAAGAAATGTAAGGCTCCTCTACTAGGCAGATAGAGCCTGGGAATTTCATTGTTTCTATTTCACACCAGTAGATTTTGGAGTGTTGATTTCTCCTAGCAATGGAAGAGGGAATCAGGTTTAATAGAAGTTGTTTTCAATTACATTCTATTTCATTGCTTTTTTTGCCTTCTGCTGCATGCAGAACAAACACAGAAAGTAAAGCAAAACCTCACCTATAAAGCTAGTGGCCTAACTACTGTTCTGCTTTTTGACCTAGTGAGACTTAGGGTTGTCTTTCTGTTATATTTTTGGGACATGCTCACAGTGGCCTGCTGTCCTAAGTGAGATAATAAATAACAGCACACAACACACAATGGCTGCACATCACCGTAGTAGATCCTTCGTGTATCAGTTCTCATGTAAACTTAGTGTCTAGGAACTATACAAGAAGAAGATATTCCAGGCGCTGCTTGTTTGCCTCCGTTTGCCTCGTTTTTTTCTTCATTTTTAATATCTCTGATTTCACTATCAAAGTAAAATCATTCAATTGCCAAATGCCAAGTCTTATTCACAATGGAAATTCTGGCAGGGAAAAATGTGCTGCTGTATAATATGATATCGCCAATATAAATGTTCAAATAACACCTCATCAATTAATTACTATTTTGAAAATTCACAGAAGAGTGTGGATGGAATTCTCTGCTTTTTCCAGTGTGATGTGTACATTTTCTGATCAAACTTCAGCCTATATATATATATATATATATGTATATATATATATATCTCGCTCCTCCACAGTTATTGTGGTGTCCTTCAAAATGGCAGAGCAGAACCGCCTCTAGTAACATTCCTGTTTTCTTTCCTTAGGACATGCATGTTATCAGCACGGATGAGAATCAGGTGTTTGCAGCTGTTCAAGAGTGGAACCAGAATGATACCTACAACCTGTACATCTCCGACACCCGAGGAGTGTACTTCACCCTGGCCTTAGAAAACGTCAAGAGTAGTCAAGGGCTGGAGGGGAATGTGATGATTGACCTCTATGAGGTATGTCATAACTCCAAATATCTCTCATTCCTAACTCAAGAGTTCATGTGACACAAATATTATCTCCTTCTTGCACATCACTCTCATAGTATTCATGTGAATAACAGAGCCTTATGGCTCTAGCGGCTAAGCACAGTTTTACCCTCCTTTTATTCAAGGATCTCAGTGGAATCAGCTGAATTCTAGGCTCAGAATTTTCACGGATATATGTTAGGACCAGCCTGATAGTACAAACAGATTCACTGGTTACTGTCATGTAGGTCTCAGATGAAGAAGGGCTGGTGTCTGTGTAGGAAGGTGTGTAGTGTAAGATCTAATGGAATAGTTCATTAAGTTCCTAAGAGGAGCTCTGAGTTTCTCAGCCGGAATCCTGCTACCCCAAGTGCCCTGAGCCCCCATCCGTGGCGCTTTTAACACTCTCTCATTTTTATTACATTTCTGAGAGCGTAAGCTCTTGTTTTAGAAGGATGAAGAGGTAGCAGTTTTCAGCCACCGTTGTCACCCTTCCTTGAATCTTGAACTATTCTGGGAATTTAAGTAATTTTAGATAGGCCCTCTTGGGTGATTGCATAAGCAGGGAATCTTGGAACCCACATACTTCATCTTGCTGTTCCCTGAGCCTTTTCCTGACAAGTACAGTCTGCCAAAACTTCCCTGTAAGAAGGCCAACTTGCACTGACTTCTATGGTTACTGAACCAAAGAAGAGGACTTTTAATATGCCCTTAAACTTTTCTTCCTCTACTACCTATTTCTGGAGACAGAACTTTAGTAGAAATTTGATCCTTGGTTGCTGTTAGAAGGGTCATTTTTTTCGGATATCTTCCTATTTGATCATTTAAAACCAAAGCCATGAACCAGCTTTGAGTAGCTTTGAAAAAGAAGACGCTTCCTTTATTTTTCCTTCACCAACTGGATATTAGCTCTGCTATCCAGTTTGCCTTCAGGTTTCAGGAAACTGCCTTGAAATATCCATACAGAAAGCCGAAGTGTTGTGCATAATTGCATGAAGATGGGCACTGGCATTTCCCAGTCCTTTGGAGGTTTTTACTGTTAACCTCTCTGCAGTGCTGGCAGCCCATGGAAAGGCTGTTGCCTCTTATTACTGTCAGTTTGAGAAGCAGTTTCACTGCATTATGTAAAGGTGTCCTACATCCCAGGGGAAAAGGAAAGCCTTTGTTTTATTAGGCTGACAATACGCAGTAGCCCAGGTTGAAATTGATGGGATGAGACTTGTAGAGTCATATCTGCTGATTATCTAGATAGAAAGAATATTGGCTGACACCGAACCTGGCACAAACTGTCTTTTAAATTTGATGTTCTAGCTGGAAGGGAACAGAAAGCCATCCAGTGTGATTGTCCCGGTAGGACTGTTGCAAATCATGAATGCTTAGGGGTAAATAGAGATGAAGAAGGGAGAAGAAGAAAATCCATAGATAAATTAAAAAGCAGCAGAGAGATTGCAAAATAAGTCCTTATGTGGTGACAGCAGTATATTTAGAAAAAAAAGATTATTTGAGAAGACAATGCCAGAAAAAGGCATGTACATGTGCCTGTATGTATGTGCTTCTTGAATGGAATAGGCAAGGTCATTTGGTTGCATTGTAGTGAATGTCTGTGTGTAGGCTCCTAAGCTATTTTACATGAAAGATAAAATCTCTCTGATGCTGCTCATGAGGAAATTACATTGCTTATGAAGAAATAATAGAAGTTCTGCCCTGGTGCCTCATCATGTTCTCCATTCTCTCCTCTGGTAAGTCATCAGGAACCTTTCACTGGGAGATTTTTATTCCAGGCTGTGGGCTATTCTGCTTCTGGACTTTGCAGAGGATGAGGAGACCCACTCTCTATGGGGCTCCTCCCTACCTCTTAGGGTAGGGCATGAGGATAGTGCTTCTTCTTACCTCGTGCTAGTGCTAATGCATCTGTAACACATTGGAACCAGTATTCAGAGTGTCTGCAGTAGCAATGGGGCTGTCCTGGAGACCATTTTCAGCACGGGAATAGCGGGAGTCACTGGCCAGTGCTTCCGAGTCCCCTCTCTTATTCCTGCACTTCTCCAATAATACGGTTTGGCTCGGCACTTGGGCTGGTCTGCAGCAAGGCAGTGCTGCCTGTGGGAACCCATGTTCAAACTGATAACAGTGGGCAGCTTTGGTGTGGGGTAGAAGCTTCAATAAATTGTTTGTTTTTTAATTTGATCAGTGGTCGAAGAGGAATGGGAATCTTTAAAACAAAAAGTTACTGTGAAGAGAGATATGTGTTTGTATCTATGAAGCATGCCTGAGATGTCTGGGACTTGCTTGTTTTTAGCAGTATGTATTTCTGATTGGAAGTGTGTTCTTGAAGTATGAAGCTGGTGATGGGAAGTGAAGAGAGTATTTCAACGTGTGTGTTTGAGTGTCTTGTATGAGTCTTTCCTCACATCTGCAGACAGTGTGTCTGTGCACAGTGGATATGTGCTTGGATTGCCTTCAAAGCCTCTGTGGGGACCACTGAAGTGCTTGTCACACTGACCACTTGTGGATGCAGTGCCTTCTCTGTTACGGTTGTGTGAGCAGCTGGGATTGTGTCAAGGATGCGAATGTGCAATAGGGGTATCATTTCCTGCTGCGACCACACGACCAGGTATACCGTGTGCAGGGTTTTGAAGATAAAGCTGTCCAAGGCTGACAGCATAACTTACACTTTGCTTACTCTGGAAAGGACTCCGAGTCCCAGCCCATGACTAGAATCATAAAAAGAAAAATTCATGGGATTTCAGGGCACATTTATCACCTGATATATAAAATGTTCTTTAATCATTTATGGCCAGCATTTCACAGGGACTATAACACAACCATTTCTGTACAACAACAAAGGAAGGTACAAATGGAGCTCTTGGCTCAGGCCTCTGGTAGCAAAAGCAGAACAATGTTATTTTTCCATCCCTGGCTAGTTATATAATACCACTGGGAGACAGAGTACCCCTTTCTTATCAGAGATGAAAGAAACTCTGTAAAATTAGTTGCATGGAAAAAAAAAATACAGTTAGAATATTTAAAATATTATCTTGTTATGTTTTTATCAACTATAGATCAGTTAAATCCTTCATTTAAGGATGTTACCACTATTGCCACTTATAGCAAATCATATCTAAGCCTTTAAGTGGCCTCAGCGTGCCTCGGTGCAGTTATACAAGGAAGAATGTGCTATTCAGAATGAACACAGTGTGCTGTAGCAATATACTATTAGTATCAGTAGTCCCATGGCATGGCAATGTAGTCCTTGCCAGTACTGATAGCATCCAAACTGGGCCTCATAACTGAGGATGTCATATGAGGCAGGCCCAGTCTTTGAGGCGAGAACAAATTCTGAATTTGCTGTGACTATTTGGCACATAGTGCATTCAAGTAATAACTTACCAAGCCTTTTTATTCAGAGGTTATATTTTTATTCAGAGGTTTATTCAGAGGTGCACCAGTTCTGCAGAGCAAGATTTGGGTGGATGACAAAGTTTCTCCCTTCCCTCTCTTGCTTCTGATTTCTTTTCCCTTTTTTATTGGAGCGCTCAGGTTGCAGAATGACAGCCTAACAAATTCATTAGCAAGCTGCAGCAGCTATTGGGCTATTGATTTTCAGTGTGCTGAGAAGATGAGGAACGTTCTGCAATGTGAGTCGTGGGTTTTGGTTGACTTTTTTTTTCTCCCCACTGAGGCATTTTTGGGCTTGATTCCAATACGAGTCTGTTAACATCACGTCTTTCCAAAATACTCCTTCAGGTCTCCTCCAATAAAACTGCCAGGTAAACCACTGGGAATAATTAAAGGACCAGGATTTCATTGCTGGTTTTGCAGTTGGCATTTTGCGTGGCCTGGGATGAGTTGTTGATGCTTCAGTTTCCTCAAAATATAAAACAGTATAAAAATACCTCTATGCCTAAAGTTATCATGCTGAAATACATATCATTATGAAGCTGAACTATATTGAGATCTTTAGATAAAAGGTCCTAAACAGACTGTATGAGAATGGAAGCAGTAAATGGCATGTGTATGTGTGTGTTGCCGTTTTCTTTGCAAGGCCAAAACTGCTGCTGTTTCCTCCAACTGGAGGTGAATAATTGCCCTGTATATATTTCATCTTTCGGAGGAAAGGATGCTTATCCAATTCAAAGTCTGTCACTTTACAGGTAGCATTACTGTCATCTTACCATGTTTCCATGCTGTTTTCTGAAATAAAAGTTTTCTCTTCCATCTGTCACCTTTCCACCGGTGATGATCTTGTCTGTGGTCCCTCTGTTTGCCTTCCTCTGGTACTCGCTGGCAGTTCTTGCCCTGACACCCATCACACCATCATGGTGTGATCCCTGTTGGATTTGTCAGGGAAGACACACACACGTGTACTCGGACCCTGCTTCGGCTTAATCTATTTTTCAGCCCTGTCCATTTTTCCTAGGTAGCAGGGATAAAGGGGATGTTCTTGGCTAACAAGAAGATTGCCAACCAAGTGAAAACTTTCATCACCTACAATAAAGGAAGAGACTGGAGCTTGTTGCAGGCTCCGGACACTGATCTGAGAGGAAACCCCGTTCACTGTCTCCTAGTAAGTATATGGGGGGATTTGGGGCAGCAGTAACATGGAAGAGCAATCTTTTTTTTTGTTCTTTTTTCTGTTTTTCCTTTTCCTGTCCCCCTTTCCTCCCCCCCACCAAGGTAAACACCAGAAGGGCAGCTCAGGCAGTGTAATTCATGGAGCAAATGCTGCATTTTAAAAGTATAGCACATTAGGGCCACCAGATGGTATTGCGAGAGCTGACATTGTAATTTGATTTAATTTCTGGAACAAAAGAAAGCTTTGCAGATCAGCTCCACTCTGCACAACCTGCTCTGGAAGCAGCAGGTAAAGCTGGACTCTTTCTACCGCAGTTGGATCTCTGGACACTAGATGGGAGGAGTGAGCTGCTGTAGGCTCCGGAGCTTCCAGGATCCCTAATAATTTGCCATAGGCTCAAAGGGAGAACTCTTTCAGGCCAGTCTGTTGTCAGTGTTGGTGTTTATGATTTTCTCTTTGAGCTCAGATATGAAAAGTGACATATCTATGCAAGCATATGGGTCGATAGGTGTTGAGCATGTGTGTTGTATCTGTGTATCTATCAGAATAGATCAACATAGAGATAAACCTTATAACGTTTATCATTGTAGGTGAACTGTATCCAAGAGTGACAGGAAAATCTGAGCAGCATGAATAGAATTGGAAAAGTCTGTCAAAGTAAATAGGTTAGATTTTTCTGCATGTATTTTTTGATTATTATAATCTATACACAGTACTGGGAAAATGCTCAGAGAGCTCTAGCCATTAGAACCTTCAATAACTTTTATGCTGTAGAAATGGTAACATGCTTCAAACAGGATACTACTAAACTACTCTTCCTGCTACTGTCTGGTACCTGCAAGTTGCCTCCCATTATAAAATAAAATAAAAAAATGTTGAGGTTGTCAGTTTGTTAGAATATGAATCAGCTGTACATTATGTGCATGGTGTTATGTGACTGAATGCCCCACTAATCCCTTAACTGAACCCCACACATTATTGCAAGAGCGAAGAATAAATAGCTTTGTATTTGAAGCTGTTCAAATAATTGATTTTTTTTGATAGAGCCAGAATGAAAGTCATTTCATTTTCTCTCCAGAATAGAAAAAAATAAATAGGGAGTATTGGGGGTCAAACAGAAGACTTATTTCAGAGAAGGACCAAATTCACTTGGGTTTGTTTTCTTCCTCTGTCTTTTTAAAAATTGTATCTAAGGGCAGTTCTAAATTAAATTTTTCTTTAAGATGAAAAGTGAAAAGATGGCATTCTGCAAACTTTGCAGACATAAAGCATTTCATTTTTTGGAAAGCAATATTTGTAGAAGCCTTGTGTTTTAAATAGATTGTAACCTAATTTCTACTCAGGTGAACGTATTTTTTATAAATAAAACACTTTTTCAAATTATGGACAATTTTGTCATGAACCTAAGATTTTCAGGTGAGAGTATGATATTTCCAGTAAGAAAAAAAAGAAAAAGAAGAAATATAAACCTTGTGGGTTTGTACAATCATGAAAGGAAACCTCATTTTTTCCATAAATTTGAAGTTTTAATGCTAAACAAAGGCCTTTATTGTTATTCTTGCACATTTCTTATTAGAGATCTGATTTGCCATCATGGTTATTCTTGCAAAATCCTTAAAAAGCAGTTGTATGCATGAATTGTACATTTTATATACAAGGGTATGTTGCCATTGCAGTTATCTGCTATATAGCAGAAGTGGCTGTATGTCTGAGTATAAACCAGGCATCTCAGATCACACAAACATCACAGAATTGGACGGGTGTCATAGGAAGAGAGCCGTGCTTCCCTTGAGTCTTCCCATCTAAATCATGTCTGCCATTGCACTGTGCACAGAACAGTGTTTAAACGCTGGCCCATTTTTATCTTGATCTCTGCGCATTGATGTAGGTGCCCTGAGTGTTGCTTCAACCACATGCAAGCTTAGTATAGACTTGTCATCCTGTTTTCAGGACATAGGCAGATCTTCAGTGGAATTTAACTGTGCCACTCAGTCTTTACTTTTCCAGAAACAGAGTAAGAAAGAATTTAGTTGGCCCTTGCCTATGATATGGTTGGAGCAGTGTTTAGACATGTTTGGTTTTCCTCTTCCCTTTGGCATCATGTAATAGAGATGGGTAAGAAACTGTTGGTATTGTCTGAGCACTCCTTCGTGCTTAGGTCATGACAAAACTCGTGCAATTGTAACACAGCAAGGGTCCATAGCAGCATATCAGGGTTTCAGATGTCTGATTTGACACTTTGCAAGATGGGAGATAGAAGAAATCTGAACTAAACTGACTTGCACAGTCTTTTACAGGAGCAGTTTGCTTTCAAGAGAAAGGCAGGAGGGCACTTTAGAAAATGTACCAAGGCTGCGAGGTAAAATAGTAATCCCACAAGAGAGGGGCAAGCCATTTAAAAATCTACTTTGAGCTTCACAGTTAATGATAGGGAGAGGTGAAAACAGACTGTAGAGTGCAAGGTTTGAGGAATGATAGAGAATAGAGTACAGAGTTTGGGCGTAGTACGGGAAATTTTCAGAGAATTTTTCTGGAAATGCCATGGAGTTCCATAGGGGCATTCTATTCTTGGGGGGATCGTGGAAATGGAGAAAAGGAAATGGATGAATTACTTGTGCAAATAATGAATTTATTTTCTGGTTCAGTGAGTTGCAGGAGAGAGAGAAACTCGTCAAACAAAACCTTTTATTCTCTTGCTATTTTATCTTTTTATTTTTTAACCCTTTCTTGAAGCTTGCATTCAGCTTAAAAATGAAAGTGACCATTTACATTGGAACATTGGAGTATTTCCTTTTGCCTTTGAAACAAACTTTTCTTCTGGCTGGATGTGCACCTCAGAACCCACCTGACCCCCAGAGAAGTTCCCTTCAGTTGCCCATTCTGCTCAAATGTCTTTACCACAAGCCAGGTGCTGTTACCCCCAGCTAGCTCACCTGTCACCAGTATGAGCTCCAGCTTGCCTGTATTTCAGTTTCCTCAGCTCCAAAACAAATCCTGCTCCTAGTATGGCACAGCTGTAGCATTTAAGCGGTTCCCAAGCTCTCCTCATCTCCGTAGTCACACTGCCTACCCATGTGTCACCAGCAGCTTTGCTTCCTTGCCTCAGTTGCTCTCTCTCGCTCCACGCATTCCTGTTCCTGGCATGATCCTGCCTCTCCGTATGGCGTAACTAAAGTGAACTCCCCATAGCTTGTTGTAAAGCTTGTTCAGCTCCCACTATTACTCCAGGGCAGATACTAATGCTTTCACCCTGCTGCCTTTCAGCATACTTGTCTCTAGCAATAGGTTGGGATATGGTAATGATGTACGTTCCAGATTTTCATCAGAATGGAATCTGCCCTTTCCCAGAGCGGGACGACTGTCTCCAGCCTGAGAGTGTAATGCTATGTCCCCTATGCATCTAATCTTTAAACCTGTAGAGGGAATGTTAATACTGAAATAAGCATGTGCAGCTAAGTTGGCAACTACGCAAATCTGGTTGAAACACAAGTCGAGCCAAATGGCACCATCCCTCTACTGACAATACGCTTGAGGTGTTTTATCCAAAGCAACTCAAAGATTTTTTTTTTTTTTTTTTTAAGAATGATTGCTCTGAATAACGAGGATGAAGGAAAACAACAAAATTCCATCTAAGCACATCTTGTTCATACTGCTTGTTTTCTAGGTTAAATACACTTACTCTTCATAAAATACATCCTAAAGGTGCTGGGTTTATTTGATACTTAACCTGTGCTATGAAGTGGTCGGCTTCAGAGCAGTTCTGTTTTGTAACTTATGGGTCTCTGTCTAGAAGACTATTAGCTTTCAATTCACTTTCAAGGATGGTCTTGTGGTTAAAAGACTGGACTGACCCTGAAGAGAATCTTGGTTCAATTTTTAGCTCTGTCTCCATCTCCAGAAGTAACTTTGGGCAAGTCATTTGCTTTCTGTGTGCCACTGTTCCCCAGACATCTGTTTATTCCCTCCCACATTTTATTTATCCTCTCTACATGGGTTATTTCAGGACAAAGGCCTATTTCTCATAAGGAGGGCATTCACACCATCTGACAATGATTTAAGCGTCTAAGTAAGGTGTTCCGAATCCCTTCTGGAAGTGTTTAGCTCTCTTGACTGGTCTGTTTCTTTGCAGGTGAGCATGTAGTGTGACTGTTCCTAGGTTTCTGGATAGTGTCTAACCTCATTCTTATATCATAACACTATCCCACTTCTGATCAGGGACCCATAGTAGTAGCTCCTAGATATACAGGGGGAAAAAAAGGATGGCATTTGCTTCTAGCTGAAACATGGTACAGGGAATTGTGTACTGGGACATCTTGCAAGATGGAGGGCATATATTCTCAAGTTTACCCAGACCTGCTCATGGCAATTTTGCAAACGCTGGTCAGTGATACTTGCCAACTGCCTTGCACGTGTCATACCATTGGAGACTGTTCAGATGAGCTTTGCAGAGCAGCCATGATGCCAAGATAAAGGTTTTCAGGTGTTTAGAGTGTGTTTTATCCAGACCTCTGGAGCCTTCTGAGTGCTTGCTTGAAAAGAAGCAGCAGCAGCAAGTAATGAACTTTAGCATGACTTCAAGAGCCATGGTAGTGAACAGGGTAATGGGATATGTCACTTGCGCTTCATTTTCTGCATAGGCTGTGAGTGTTCCCTGGTAGTGTTCTTTTTTTTTTTTTTTTTTTTTAATTGGTATCTGTGTGACACCTGTCACAGCTGGGTACTAGACAGTGACAGGGACACCCAAAACTGGTGATTAAGATGATGATAAATGGTTTCTGCAGCCTCTTTGGAAACAATAGGAATGTTAGAGATCATTGATGTCTAAACAGCAAACTTGAGATGTCTGTATATAAGTTAAGCTGCAGGAACCAGAGAAGAAACAGAAAGAGACCCGCAGTATGATGGAAGACTATCTAGCCTATCTGTGAAAAAAAATTGGATAAGTGACACTGATGGATAAGGGATCTGGGGTGGAGAAGAGAATGCTGCTGTGGTCTTGAGGTGAGATGACAGCAGTCAATAGCTTAGGTGTGTGTAACAATTATTACTGGAGTTTCTAAGTATCGCTGCAATCCAACCGACAAGCAGCCATGCCACTAAAAGTACCATGTCTCTGCTTAGGTAGATGTCCTGGTTTTTAATATTTGATGTGAGTGTACTGTATTTGTAAAGTCAGAAAACTTTGAAAGAAAACCTCAGGTAACATAAGGATTTGAGCCTGACACTAGATCATCTCTACAGTAGGGAACTCACTGTTGCTGTCCTCAAAATCTAGGGGGTGGACATGTAGTATGTTAGTTTTGAAACTATGTTCTGTACTTAGTCTTTTCACAATGTGTAAAAATGTACAAGAGAATAATTGATTCTCCTGTAGTGTTTTTCCACTTCCCGCATGCACGCCAGCTCAATTTACTTCCACTGCCTCCCTGCCCCCTGAGGCTGCTCTCGCGGCTCCCCTCGCAATGCTGTCACTTAGCGTTAGGGTGCTCGACATATTCTGCCTGGCAAGTGATGTTCCCTTCTTCGCTGCTCTGTGTCCCTTTCACCTGTCTCAGAGAAGTGAGAGCTCACATCACTCCTCACCATCCCCATCCATCTTTTTTTTTTTTTTTTTTTTTTTTTTTTTTTTTTTTTTTTAAATCCTGTGTGGTTGCCATTCCAGGTTTGGGCGGGGGGAAAGAAGGGCGTGAAAAACATCAGAAATGGTCAGAATGATCAGAAATTATCAGACTACAGATTTGCAGAGGCATAGATGGAATGATAATGGTGAATTTGGAAATCTGCCTGCCTTTGTCTCCTTACCTACTTACTCTGCTGAATTATTCTGTGCCATTCCTGTCCTACCTGAGTACCTGACATATAAAATCAATTGCATATAGGTAAGGTTTCCATTGTATTGACTTGTCAAAGGTCGCATCCAGATGGAGTGATCAAGCATTGTATTAAATAACTTTTAAACTGATGCTTTTTAGTCCTGGTATTTATGCCTAATGTAGTGTAGAACATTTGAATGTCAGAGTAGTTCAGAATCCAAAAAATTCAGCCACTGTCTGAATTAAGTTGTGTCTCATGGCTAATTAACAGGGATGGTATGGTTATAATGCTGTGCACTCCAGAGTTAGTGAGGGCAATGCTGCTCTGTGGATCAGAGCATCATTTGCAAATAATAATGCAAGTCATATTTATAGCCTTGTTTGCTCCTCTAGAGAGCTAGCAGTCAGGGGAACTAAGTAATCCTTATCATTACCTGTCCCTGCAAGCCAGGTTGCCTCCTTCCTGAATACAGCTTCAAAGATATTGCCTTGTTCTTGTGAAAGATTTTCAGCGTAGTGGATTAGTTTCCCAATGTGGTAGGATTTCACTGGGAAATTACAGCACAGCTCTCCTAATAGAGCAAGAGAAGTTGATAATTCCTTTTCTCTGGAGTGTAAGCCTTATTGAAGGGCAAGAACAAGTCCTGATGTCTGACCTTGTAGCTTCACTGGCCACATATGGGATCAATCTGGTGCAGTGTCACCAGAACAGTGTCTGTGTCTTTCTAAGAATGGCAGGACGCAGCTGTAAGGAAATAGTGTCCTTAATGTCAATAGCAACTGTTAATTGGGCTCTTGTGCCCTACAAGGCATAAAATGTGCAGAAGTAGGAGAAATACTTCATGTTGTGCTTTTCACTTTTCTCTGTAGCCCTATTGTTCCCTTCATCTTCACCTGAAGGTCTCAGAAAATCCCTACACCTCAGGAAATATCGCCAGCCGAGACACTGCCCCTGGCATTATTGTAGCTTCAGGTATGGAACTTTTAATGATTGCCTATTTATGATGTGCAACTGCTGAGAAACATCTTGACTTTGTGATGGGTGTTGAGTGGCTCGTGTGATGTAGCACCATCTGTACTGGGAAGGAAGGAAAGAAGGCCATCAAATGGAAGTCCTCATGGGCCTTCAAGCTGTCATCCCTTTTGATGAAAACTGGTCTTCAAGACCCAAGGCATCAGTTCTAGCACTGTACTCTTGAGAACATTAGATTCAAACCAGTGCATTTCTTTTTGTACAGAGGTGTGTGGAGAAGTATATATTGCTGATAATCTCTCCTTTCCCCTCATTCTCAATTCCCAAGACTTAACAGCTTTATAAATATAAATAGTAAGCCAAAAATGTTTATTTCCCCAATTGGCTCATTGTGCTATTTTTTAAAATTTTGCTTTGCTGATGAGTACTTTTCTTACAGGAAATATAGGTACTGAACTATCAGAGAATGATATCAGCATGTTTGTTTCTTCTGATGCTGGGAACACATGGAAACAGGTATGTGCACCAGATCACAGGTTGAAATAGTAATTGTAGGGAATTATGATCAAATTGGATTCAAAAAGTTGCTTCATCTCTTTTGTTTTGGTTCAGAGTAGTCTTGCTAATCTATACAGAGGGGAAAGCTTTTTTTCCTGCTGAGAGGACATGCCCTATCCTAGAGATACGCCCAGTGAAAAATGCTGAATGCATCATTAGGCTTCATATAACTGAAAATTATTTGTATAATACTACTGGGAGGTTGGCTTCAATTTAACTCTGTAGCAGAGTAAAAGAGAAAATAAAATGTTTGTGAGGAGATAGTATTTCTTCTTTCTTTTGTGGGCCCCTTGTATTCATCAAACCATTTCCTCTTCTTCCCTGATCATACTTTCCAGAAGATTAGCAATTATTTTAGTCTACTTCTCCCTCAATGAGTGTGGGTTTCATCGCACCTGAGTTGATTTGTCCAAAGCTCAATGAGCATTTAAGCTAAATATCTTGCCTCGCTCTGAAGTTAATTGAGAAAGAGACAAAACACATTCAAACTGTTCTGAAGTTGTGTTCTTCTCCACTGATACTGGAGAAAGAGTAGATGATGACTTTAAATTGAATGCCTATTTAGTTGACTCCCACTTGTTGCCAAAGCATTGCTGTTCTTTCATGTGCTTATATTCAAAGGGACACTGATTCCCATTTTCCAGTTGGAATATGAAGTCAAAGAGAGAAGTGACTTTCCCAGACTCATGAGTGCTGTCATGGAAACTGGAAAGCAGATGTTCACAGAAAGCAAATACAGAAGAAAATCAGGAAAAGAAATTTGTTTAAATATTTGATATTAGAGGAATTTAATTACTTTGCAGTGTTTGACCAACCCACATTTTTTCACTTATATAGACTAGGTCCAGATATGTGCAAGTGTGTTAAGTTGTTCTTCAAACAAAAATCTGTTATTGAAAAGAGGAAAATTATTCATGTTTATAACTGACAAGCATAATGCATTTTACAAGGACCTAAACAGGCACAAATAAGGAAAAGTAACTATTTCAATACAAAGTGCTTTCCTCAATAGTTTGCTTAACATTTTCCATCCTCTGTCATGAACTGTGACTTAATTATGACCTTTTCTTTATAGGAGGGAAACAGATCTAAATATATGCTTCTTTTTCCAGATTTTTGAAGATGAGCACAGTGTTCTATACCTGGATCAAGGTGGAGTACTTGTTGCTATGAAGCACACATCCTTGCCTATCAGACATCTCTGGTAATAATTTCAGCTCTGCTAAATGTGATAGTCTGATACCCCTTCTTTCAAATGCCAGGACATCGGCTGCATCTACAATGCTTTTTTTTTTTTTTTTTTAGCTAGAAATCTAGAAAGTATTAGTTAAGAAGCTAGCAAACATTCTCTTAGAAGAGGATCCTGGCAATTCCAGGTTACCCAATTTCAGCTTGGCTTGGTCTTAGAAATTGTCAATATAATTCCACAAAGAAACAAAGAACTTTGCTGATTTACTGAGGGTTGGCTTCCTGAATTCGGTTATTTATATAATAAATAGTTTGGCATACGACATTGTGTCTTACTAATTTGCCAAAGTACTCTATTTTCAAAATTATTGATAAAATTATCTTCTACTTGGGAGGCAGCAATCATGGACCAGAATTATGTTGAAGAGTTTCAAGGTTATATAACCAATAAAGCAAAAGTGTATCCACTAGGTAGCACTCTTGAGTTTTAGTAGAAGGCAAAATAGAGTTCAGTGCTATTTTGCATACCTTTATAATAAGAACCGTATCAATTTCTAAAACACATAGACCCAAGTTTTAAGAAGTCGAGAATAGTTCCAAGCTTCCATTTAGACCAACCACAGCAGACAATCAGTCAGAAGAGGCAAAGCCTGTTTGTTCTGAAAATCAAACCTCCTCAAAATGTCTTATGGTAGGGACTCAAAACTAGGATCTAAAAACTACTTGTTTATTTTAAAAACTGTAGTCCTAGTCTACATTTTGCCCTTAAAGCAAATCTCAATCTCTAACATAAGTTTATTAGTTTCTGCCACTTAAGTATTGGCCATGGCTTAGCACTGTAGTGCCAGACAAGCTTGATCAATGCTCTGATTTATGATACTTCCAAAAAAAAAAAAAAAAAAAAAGTGGTTATTTCAAGGACTAAAATGTCCTTGAAAAAAACAGGAAAACAGGTGCTGTTTACTACTTATCAGCAGTAGTTGGCTGGATAGTCGTCTTAAATAATGTAGGACCTTGGTAAGGAAAGATGCTAATTGTGCGTTCTCCACTAGGTTAAGTTTTGATGAAGGGAGCTCTTGGAGCAAATACAGCTTCACATCACTCCCACTGTTCGTTGATGGAGTGTTAGGGGAACCTGGAGAGGAAACTCTCATCATGACGTAAGTAAGCATGTCATCATGCTAATGTTGATGGGAACTACACCATAAATATCTTATGAGAGTTGTTTGTAACATAATCGCACTTCTGACTGGGACCAAAGCACATTTCGTCTAAAGCCAGGAGTGCACCATATTCTGTTGCAAAATCATCAATGTTTGTGTGATATGATTGAGGGAATGACAATATAGTTTATTGCAAGCTGAAAAAACATTACGACTTAGTTTATCAGCATGAAATCTGACTACTTAAATTGAGTGTGATTTAAAGCAGAGTTATCCTTGACAGATGAATGCTTGAAAGCAAAATGGGGAGGTATTTTTAGTGGTGTTTTTGCTGCTACATTTTTTGTTTTAAACTGAGACACAGGAATATGAAGACGTTCTTCTGCAAGAATAAATGACAAAATGTTGCCTGGAGGCTGATTCATGAACAATTGTGATTAGTTTCAATCTGGTATGTTAAGTTTTGCATGGTACATAAAATTAATTCACCCTGCCAGAAATTGCGACATTTTACCTGAGATCAGATTTGGAAAACATGAGGAAAATTCAGTTTCTGTTTGCAAAAAAAATTATCTGACCTTAATAAACTGAATATGCAGGTGATTGCATGGATGTATTTGCAATATGCATTTGCATGGATGCAAATGATCCATTTGAATTTTGGTTTTAATTCTATTGGAAATAATGTCCAAAGCTTGTGTTTGAGATATCAAGATCCTGTAGGTAACTCTTAAAATCTGACAATCTGAAGATGTAAACACTTAACTGATGATATTTGATTGGTTCTGCTAAAAAGATATTAGGCAAAATAGATCTGGGTTGAATGGGTTGTCTTTGATTTTTAAATCAGTTTTAAAACACACACACAAAACACTAAACATAGTGAATGACCTTCTTTCCCCAGACATCTGCATTTTCTACAATAGTAAGAGTATTTCAGGGTCAAAGCCTGTATTGTCTCCCATTTGCTATTAATAATAGGAAATGCAGAATGATATTTCCTATATCTTACCTTGTTAGTCAAAGTTCAGCAAACATAACCTCATCCTGAAATAAACCTTCATAAAGTTTTACAAGCCAGTTTGGAGCATTCATGTTTAATTGTTTCATTGGCAAAAGGTGGTATGCAATGCCAGATCACAATATCTGAAAGGAGGTGTGTCTATGAAGACTATCTAACTGATGAAAAAAACACAGTCCAATGTATAGTATACAGTGCAGAGGAATCCTTGAATAGTCAGCCAGAACCAGTTAATCTACAGGAGCAGATACTGTGGAGACAGCAACTCAGTTCCAGAAAGACTATGAAGAAGCATCATCTCCAGCCGTGTGTCAAGGCTTCTCTATTTGGTCAGTCTGGGGATCGACATAAGGGAGAACTTGATCCACAGAATAAAATCGATGTCCAGTTTTCAACAGGGTTGTGTTTATTTAGGAGTCTAAGTTTCATTTTCAATATGTCAATTCAGTGAAAATTGCTGGGACTGGCAGCTAGAGGAATTAATCTGTTGAAAATTCGTGTTTTAATGGGTAACCACCAGCCTCCAGCTGGCCCTACCTTTCACTGTATGCATTCTTTGTGGTATTCTGCAGAGTGTTTGGGCATTTCAGCCACCGCTCAGAATGGCAGCTGGTGAAAGTGGACTACAAATCCATTTTTGATCGGAGATGTGCAGAAGAGGACTACAGACCTTGGCAACTCCATAGCCAGGTGAGAAATAAGAAGGCTGGGACTTGATCTGAGGTAATGAATGATCCTACAGTTAAGGATCATTTTGATCCACTGTTTTTTCATGTCAGCTTGACGTATCCATTTTTGGGTATCTATCTAACTGAACATCTCTGTTTAGTTACATAGGTACGTTAACCTAAGATTGTATGCTGTGAGCCCAAGGAATGAACAGTTGTCCCTTGGTTTGTTCTGTATCTATTGAATAAAAATCAGTGCCAAGGAGAGGCAGAGTTTCCAGGCTCTGTGCTGGCACTTCTAAGCACAACTTAGAAATGGAAGGATCTTAAGACCCTTCTCCTATGTCCTGTTCCTTGCATCCTGATTGCAGCTGCTGCCTACTCCCTCCTGGAGCCCTTGCTCAACATGCCCTAACATACTAACGTGCTCTGTGCCAGTCCTGGGGCACCTTCCCAGCTCTGCCAAGTCTGTCATGGCAGTCTGTGTTATAGCAGGTTAGAATAAAATGGGACTCAAATTCTATAGCTATTATAAACAACCCAGGCTCCACTGAAGTCTGAAGAGATGCACCTGGTTTACATCATCAAAGGTTTTTTTTTTTTTTTATGTATCTTGCTGTGTAAGAATTTAATAGTAAATATAAAATGGTAGTAGCTTGACTCACGCTAGCCGCTCATACAAGGCTCACGGCCACACTAAAAATATCAGTTTTGATTTAAATCCTCAGATAAGGAAAATCAGTACAGCTTCCTATAAGTTCAAGGAGGCACAACATTTTACACCAGCTGCCATTCTGGCCCATCTTTTTCATGGGCAAATCAAAGCCATAAAAAAGTTTCTCTTTCCTCCAGCATTTTTACAAGGATAAAAGGTAGCAAGTGAGACACCACTGTATTTTGTTCTTTGCCTTCCTCTGCTTGCATAAGCAAAAATGTGAAGGATTTTGCACTGTGTGTTTAAGGTTGTTAGCTTAGGAGCTGTTGAACTATTTTTAGGGAGGCTTCTGTGGACCTTTGCCTTTTAATTTGCTTTCCATTGAGATTGCAAGGCTGAGAGGCTCTCTTGGTCGATAGAAATACTTAGAAGGGTGTTCAAGATAGGAGAGAAAAGACAAAGAAGTATTAACATCTAGCACATAATGGGTCACGCCCTGTAAAACCTGAACTCAGAGTCTGTGGAAAGTATTTACATATATGCACATTACTAGTTTCCACTGTGTGAGAATAGCAATAAATAGATGACCGAATTAATACCCTTGCTCTGTGCCTCAAATAGCAGAGGGTTCAGGCTGTGCTTTCTGTTGCTTTGAAACCTAATCTATAAATGAGAAAGGGTCCCGAATCAGATATCCTCTGGCTTTGGAACATGTTCAGAGCCACATGAGAAGTATAAGAAACCCCAGATAATTTGCTGGTGTGTATTAGGAAAGCTGCTTTTTCGCTTCAATAAAAGCTTCAATGGCTTTAATTAATTCCACTGTAGTGACATGGCCTTCAACTTGTCATCCTCTTCTCTTGAGTCACAGCTTCTATTGCACAGGCCTGGAAAAAAAATGTAGTGATACAAATATCCTGGTGGATGTCAGAGAAGGATATTTTTGGTTTTGTTTCCAGGGAGAAGCTTGCATCATGGGAGCAAAAAGGATCTACAGGAAGCGCAAGTCAGAGAAGAAGTGCATGCAAGGAAAGTATGCCAGGGCTATGACCTCAGAGCCATGCGTGTGCACAGAGGCAGATTTTGACTGGTAAGCGACAAGCACAAGGAATGTTTGAGACCTACGTAAAATGCTGTCATCCCGCCCCATCTATACTGGGCTAACTAGAAACATGTGCAGAGTCAAAATTAATAAGCATGTGCACGTGGCTCCTTGAGAAAGTAAGTAAAAGAAAGAAAAATGGAATAGATATGTCCAATCTTTCCTAAGGCTTCCCTGGACACCTGGGCACCTTTCTTCAAGTTGCATTTGCAGTCTCACATTAAGATAAAAGGTCCTCTTGGGCTATCTGGCTACAGCAGTGATCAGAAGTAGCTGTGCAGGTAGAATATAGGGCATATTATTATTTATTAGAACCCTATAAAAAAACTACATACAACAAACATGGATCTGCATATATACATTAAAAATAAAGTATATGGAGACTATATATATTACTCATGGATAACTCAAGGTAGGTGGTTGATCCATTAGTGTTCAAACCTCTTAAACTGACAAGCAACAGACACTTGGGAAACACTTCTGGTAAGTGTCCTCTCCCTGCAGGACACATATGCAGATCACATAATCTTAATAAAATAAAAACAAAGATTATGTGATTTGCTAGTTAAAAAAAAACAGAGGTGCTAGGTATAAAACAGGAGTAGCATAGTGACGATTTGCTAATGGAAACGTTCTTTTATCTCTTAAAGATTCCCTTAGAGGAAACTTTCTCAGAAAGGGCTCCTGGCTCATGAGAGAATCTCTCGGCGAAAGCTTGAATGATCGGGGGCATGAGAGACGTTCACAGTTCACATGCACCCATGAGACTCCTCAAAACTGTTGGAAGTGGAAAAATTTGGGCTTCTTGTAAATTACCTTCTTAAAAATAGCCTGAGAAAAACAGCTTTACATGTAGTCCAGGTCTGCTTTCTGAGCTGACTGATAAAAAGTGGACTTCCCTGCTTCCAGTGGAACTAGTTTTGTTTTATAACAGACTGTCTTCATCTCCTCCAGTTCTCTCTGAGCCCTTGTTATTCATCATTTCCTCAAAATACAGATCTGTATTTTGACTTTATCCATTCCAGCTTCTTTCCACACTGCTGCTGTTATTTATCTGCTGAATACAGTCAGGAACATCATTTTACATAGGTTTGTCAGAGGACAGAAAAGCCACTGGGAAGAGAAGACAGAAGTTTTTCAAGGAAGGAGAAAAGAGATAGCAGAACCCCAGCAGTTCTGCTGGTTCTGAATTTCTCAGCTATATTGTGCTAACAACAGCAAACCTGCTGTTGTGTCACAGCATTCAGTGACCACCTTGTCGAGCTCCACAAGAGGCTTCACTTCCACTGCATCCTGCATAAGCCAGTCCAAAGGGGCATGGAGGAAAACCAGGGCATTATCTTTCACTGTGGCAAGAAGTTCTCTGCAGAGTTCTTCCTGCAAAATCAAGGATTGCTTTTGTCATCCTCATTCACAACATTTCAGCAGTGCTTTTTACTTTCCTTTTGTTCTTTTGACTTTGTCTTTTTGTGCTGGAGAGAGCTCTTAGGTGAAGGACATTGAAGGTGTCTGTATCTCTAGCAGGGAGAAGCTGTTCTGCTGGCCCTACTTGATTTTGCAATCTTGAAATAAATGGGGCGGTGTTTTATACTGACTTAATGGTTATAGGATCCAGACTTACACACAGAATTTAAGAGCTGCCACTGTGTAAGAGTTTTTTTTCTTTTCCTGTTTGTCCACTGGATTTATATGGAGAAAATGCAGACTTTATTATCCAAGCTTATCAGAGCTTGGAAAAAATAATCTGCCTGTATGGTCTCCTACGGTGTTTTTTTTTTTTTTTTTTTTTTTTTTTTTTTTAAATGGAGGGGGTGGTTAGTACTGTTAATTCTGTGAGTGAGTCGTCTTATCAGTGCAGGAAAAAAGTCAATTTATAGCAGTTTTCTCCTGGCTTCCTGGGGGCATTTCAAGCCTGTATTCAGCTCACAGCGGTTCTTTTCCAGAGAAAAGGGCACATTTGTTTATTGTTTTACACAGCAACAAAGCTGAGTGACATTAGAACTGACTGTAGTTTCTCTGTCCTTGGGAACCTGAGCTCTTCTGACAGTAGCCATCCCTTGTCACGGGTTCGATCCCAAACTATCTGGGGACACAGCAGCATCTGCAGCTCTTCCACACTCTGTGCAGGGGCTGCGATTCGCAGCCAGAGGGCAATGGTGCTTCAGGAATAAGGTGGTGTGGAACCTGCAGGAGCCCTAGGCAAACCTATCCTAGCAACTGCCTGGAAACAAGACTGTGCTTCTTCATTTAATTGATTTGAGTAAATGGATGACACTGCTATTGGTGTGTTATTAAAGCATTAATTTACTCGTTTTCCTTGCATTGTTTTCCTTCCGACCGTTTGAGCCTTATTACAGCAATATCTCTTCAGTTGAAATGCGCCTTGGACAGAGATGGAAATCTTTGGTGGTATTCATTCTTCAGTGAATGTCTTTTATGTCCCTTAATAGAAACTCTGAGTTAAATGTTACTCTGTTAGTCCTTCCTCTGAACCCAGTGCCAGTAATAGTGGCGGGGTTATCCAAACGGTATTCCTGTGTCGCGCACTGTCATGGGGAGTATGACGCTCTTTACTCTGGCTCTTTGTTGTCTAGCACTTAGCATACACACCTGCCTGCTAATTTTGGTTCTTACGCTAAAATATCAGTCCTGTATCATGAGCAACTGCTCTGAAAAACTGTGGAAAGGCAGAAGGCAGATAGTGAATATGATTAGACTAAGCTGGCTTTGTGTGTTGCCATTCATTGGAGCAGATGGTCCTGCATGTGCCTGTTCTGATATAAAACCCATGCACTTGCACAGCTCCGTTTGTTTTGCCTCACCGTTGAGGTGGGCTTGGTTAGCTGATGAAAAGTAATTCTGAATGATTGTGAAAAGCAATCTTGCAAGTAGATGCAAGATCGACTGTGCATCCATGTACATCTCTGGAGACCTTGTGTATCTACCAGACATGGATTTCCTGAGAAGACTGAGGATTTTGAATTTCTCATTAATACTCCCTGGCATCCCAAATACTGTGATGCAGTTATAATCATGTGCGCCCGCTGCGGCTGCATGAATCCTTCTCTGAGAAAAAAGCCATCTCAAATCATATAGTTCTGTAAAGCAAGAACATTCCCTCTCTAACAGAAGTCTACATTTATGCCACAGATCAGCATTAACTGTAAAGCTTTATCACTGCAGCTACAGTGAGTTTTGTTTTTTTCTTCCAAAAGGGTTATTGGAAACTGCAGAACAACAGTGTTTCTAGTCACAGGTAGCTTGATTCCACCCCCTTGAATATCTGTAAGTGGAAAGTTCAAAACCATAAGTGGCATTTTCAGCTTCTGGCATGACTGATTTATGTGCTTCAGGTGATGATGTTCAATATTAAGGTTGTCCTGTGATTACATGTTAATTCATGGCAATCACTCATATGACTTAACTAATTATCGATATTACTGATTTGTTAGAACATGAGATTTTAACAATTTTATATGGATTTGCGGCTCTTGCATGGCTCTGTGTTTGTGCAGGTCCTTATTCAAATTATAAGATATCTTAGGGAATTTAGTTTCCTTTAGATCATTACTACCTATGCTGCAAAAAAAAAAAAAAAAAAAAAACACAACTTTTACCATTAGCTTTAAGTACAGATGCAGAACTTAAGGAATGAGTCGCTATCCATTTCTAACTGCAGAGAAGAGCTTGCCATCCTTAAATAGAACTACAGACTGAACCGGTAGAAGGGCCCAGTGTAAAACCAGTATTAGTCTAAGCCAAATGGTAGGCTGCTTCATACTGATAAAATAATCGATTTTGATAAATGCTCTGCTCCTTTTTGATAAGTGCATTATCTATTTCACCTGAGTTCTTCTCAGGCAGGGGCAAAATGTAGTCAATATATGCAAATTCCAGTTCCCAGATACCTGGCAATGAATTGGCTGGCTGATTGCAGGCTCCAGATTTCGCTATACTGGCTCATGCTACAGCACTCCAATTGATGCTAATGCTTGTTGATTGCAACAAAACCTGTTGTGCCAAACTGTAGGCAGCAATTTGTTGTCAGCATCAGTGTTGTGTGTGCATCAGCCTGTGGCCAAGGAATTCATTAGACTCCAAGACTGCAGAGGTGAACGGGGGCCTGGTGCATCTGTAGAGAGGTGTGGAATGGCAATTCATGTCATTTGCTAGGATGATATCTCTGTATGTCCTTAATGAGCCGGACGATTTGCAAGCCTATAAATGGCGCTGTGAAACTCCTGTGTTTAGAGCTATTTCTGCCCTCGAAGATCCTGTAATTTCATTCCCTTGACTTTGAGGAACATGGCCCAACTATAGTCAGACCTAGTTAATTCAAACTCTGCTTGACCAGATGTGCAAATACAATACCTAAGTAGCACTAATAGGAACCGAAGTTACAGCATGAGTCTGTACATGGGTGTAATGAGAAATCACAGACCAAGGCAGTAGTATTAAATTGGACTGTGGATACTGATCCCCCTCTGAGGCAGATTTCACTGTATTGTTTAGTTTTTACCTGATTACTGAACACACTGTGTATACAGTGTTTTTAATTAAAGTGACAAGTGATAACTTAGGACATAGTGCAGCAGAATTGACAATTGAATTACAAAAATACAGGGGTCCCACTTGTACATAAATATTTGTTTTCTCTAAGCAAATCAGAATGTTATTCCTCATTATAAAATGTTTTCCATAGCCATTGTATTCTTCCAAAAAAAATGATTAGAGGAGCACATGGCAGTGGGAGAAAAAACTGACTGATGCTTCCAAAACAATTAAGTAATATTCAATTACTAGTATCTAAGTAAAAAGATTCATGAAAATTCACACACAAAAACTGTGGAAAGGTCTATTTAGGACATCAAATTCATTGTTGTTATCTAGAGTGTGCACTTAATTACTTTGTTATAGATATCCTGAGCAGCATAGCTGCCAAAATGTTCCTTTGGAGCTGCAATTCACAGTCTATTGGATGTTTGTAATTTTCCCCAGTGATATGCAGCTTTAATTTTCCTTTGTTTAATGTCATATTTTTAATTTCTCCTTTTATAGATTACCTCAATATGTTTCTTTTCTTGATTCAGAAGGGAAAGTTCGAGTGTAGAACAAAAATAAACGCCAAAATCTACTCGTCTTTCTTTTCTTTGTCTTACCTCTTAGATCAGTACTGGAGTTCTTAAGATTGTTTAACACTGCTTCAGCAATATATATTTTTTTTGGATAGAGAAGTTTAGGTCCGGGAAAGAAAAAGATATTTGGAAAAATGTTCACAATTTTAAACTTTTTTTGGCTATTATTCTATAAATATAATTGATCACTCTGCTGCTTGCTAGGAGCTGCTGAATCTGTCAGCCTGAGAGAGGCAAGATTGCTGCAGTGTTGTGTTTCCAGCCCCAGCCAGAGCCTGAGGAGGATATATTCTCTATATGCATGCATGTGCACATACACACAGTACAAATGTGTGTGGCCAGCCACAGAGATCAGCACAAATAGAAACTGCAGCACTCTCACAAACAGCGCCTATGGCATCATCTTTTTCCCATCTGTCTGATCGAGATGGTAGCCCTTTAGTAGAAAATATATAAGTGTCTCAGAATTATGAATTTTCCTCTACAGCTCATGTGATAATGTTTTCAAATAAAATTAATTCTTCAGCGTATCATTTTTTTAAGAAATGAATGAGACAGTAGTGTTTGGAATTGACTTAGATCTCTAGCTGTTATATTTGAGGCTAGTGCTGCACCTGTTCAACTGTGGACGGAGAACAGGTAATGCAATAGGTCCTAGACTAGAGTTTAACAGATTATTTTCTGCTCTTGTTTATACTAGGGTTTATCTAGGGTAACTATCCAAATCAAAAATCAAAGCAAGATCAAGAATATTTAAAGATCTGAGGAAAATCAAAGCAAATCAGTTTTAGAGAGCAGAGGCTAATATTTGGGTTTTGTGTGCATTTGATTGATTGTTTTTCCTGTGATTGCTTCTTTGAATACTGAAACAGTGATTACGGATACGAACGTCACAGCAATGGACAGTGTTTGCCAGCATTTTGGTATAACCCATCTTCCTTGTCAAAAGACTGTAGCCTTGGACAGAGTTATCTCAACAGCACTGGGTAAGTGGCACAATAGAGAGTATTTGAGCAAGAGCAGCCATACAGTCCTTAAAGGATGACAGCTAAAGATTGCATTTTCTAAAGGTGAATCAAAGCTGTCTAAAGCCCTTTTTCATTAAATTTGTTAGAGCTTGCAGTCTAGCCTGTCAGATTTCCATCAGGAATGGGCCAGACCTTTTCCTGAAACTGGTGTATGTGTGAACAGAAATAATCAATGGGCAGCTATCCTGAATGTTTGATAACTCTTTGGCCTTCTTGGATGTCAATGGACGATGTAGCTGAAGTCAAGATAATGACCTCAGACAACATTTCTGATGCGCCCCTGTGTTTTAATCACTGCCAGCTGCCTGTTGGCGTTTTGTACACTTAAAAGATGGGTCAAATTAACTTTTTTTTCTTCAATTCTGTCATTTCTGTGGAAGTGTTGCTTCCCAGCTGGTGTTCTGTGGTATGTGAGAAAAGCTGTTTAACTATGTCTGAAAATATATTAACAGATAATAGCAATAACAAATAACAATAGTGTGTGTATATATACACTTTACACATGTAACATTTATTTAAAGTTACAGTTAATATAAAATAATGTTGTATGCAATTTGTGGCATATAGGTGTGCTGTGCAGGAGAATACTAAATGCCCTTAACAACAATATTACACTACTTGTATGTTAGGCCCACGTGCTGTGTCTGGCTGAGATAAATGCTAGAATATATTTGGGAACCTCTTTTCTTCTAATCTCACCAGTCTAAAATGACCTGGAAAATTTTGTCTGTTGTACTAAACCCCATTATTCTCCATGTCAGCACCTTGTCTGATTTCTTTCTTTGCAGGTATCGGAAAGTTGTTTCTAATAACTGCACAGATGGTGTAAGAGAACAGTACACAGCAAAACCGCAGCAATGTCCTGGCAAAGCCCCCCAGGGACTTCGTATAGTCACATCTGATGGCAAACTGACAGCTGATCTAGGACACAACGTCACTTTCCTAATCCAACTGGAAGAGGTAGGGTCTATGTTTATGTGGATCCCTGGCCTTACGGGCATATTTCACTCTGATTCATGCCAGACAACACTTGCAAAGCGAAGAGGTGAACTAAAAAAGTGTGTGGCTAGGTTAGAATATGTCACGAGAACTAAGGGACAGTGTATGGGGACGATGAGAGTGAAAGTCCATTGCACTGCATCGGGTAACACCTGGAAGAAGTTGATTAAAAACTACCCTGGATGGGGAATTTCTCAGTAAGATTGGAGAGTATAGGTTGGAATCCTGCTCACTGTTCTTATCTGTGCTTTTGATTTCCTGTTGTGTTTGAATTTCTGCTTTTACTTGACACTGACATTCAACCCAACATGGCTAAAAATGCATGTGCAGAACTGTCCCCATCACACAGGTTTGCAGGGATCTGCATGTTGTTTAGGTGCTGGGAGCTTAAATCTCAAGATGTCATCAGTATTAAGTCTGAAATTGATTGCAAATGTGAACATGAGTCACTCTAATCAGAACCCTTGTTTACTCTTATAGCTCTAACTTTACTTAGTATTCTACTCTTCTTCTTCCTTTTATGAAATCTTTACAGAAAATGTATGGAATCTTTTCTCCTGTTTCAGCTGATCAGCGTTTTTCTATATATGATTTATTATAGACTCCCAAATGATGGCATTTACAAAGTAGGGTTTTTTTCCTTTTTTTCCACTAATCAAATTTGATTTTTTTAAACTTCTGCATTTTTCTCCTATGTAGTTGCCCAATAAATCCTAAGAGCTAAGCTTTCTTATGCTAAGGGAAAATGTACATCCCTTTATTGCTTAGAATATCCATAGAAATTACTTCTGACCCTTTCCATAGTATTTGTCATCTATAGTGAGGAAGGAGGAATGAAGATAACCTCTAGAGTTGATTTTGTAGGTTTGGGTTAGGATTATTATGTCTCTATTATTGATGCTTTCCCCAGCAAACATGTGTCCTGATTTGTAAAAGCAATAACATGTACTATAAAACTATATCTAACCTGAAGCAGTTGTTAAACTGTAATGTTCATTTTCTCCAAAATATGGTCACTATATCTCACGAGTGGCAAACATACAACACAACTACTGCAGATGCAGTCATAACAGTATTGACATGTTTATTTTGGTGCAACTCGTAGTCATATATTTAGGTGAATATAATCTGACTGAGATATATTACTAATTTCTAGCCTTTGATATGAAGTCCATAACAAGATGCAAAGTTTTCATGTTTCTGGCCAAGAAAATGACTAAAAAAAATGTGTAGTTGTATACCAAAATAAAACTACTACTTGTATTGCCTTTTCACAGAAAAAAAAAAACAGATTGAAGGAAATGAGATGGCTTATCTGAGACATCAGTCACAGAACTTCCAAGGAATTACATCAGTAGGTCGGTGGGAAAGAGAGTTTCCCGGATTATGAAAAACTCAAAATATATTTCCTGTTCTTCCTCAAGTGGATGTTTGAACTTGCTTATCCCATATGAGTGCCCTAACCACTCTCTTAGACAGGAGTGTGGAAGTAACATCTCTGTTAGTAGAGTTTGGAAGTAACATCTCTGTTAGCAGATTGGGTCTTTCCTATGCTGTATATTAGGGCATGTTTTGAAATGTGAGTCTATTTCTGAGGATATCTAAAGGGAACCCATATTTTGGGATACCTACTGGGGCAGGGTTTAGGAACTGCTCTGAGAGCTGAAACAGGATTGATCTGCCTCCTGCCATGAGTATTTCTCTCCCTGCTTGATGAATCCCAAGCTTCTACTTCTAGATTTGTAGAGGTAAAGAGGCTGCAGTGCAAACTTTGGGGTGAATTTGACCCAATCTGACAATAACTTTAAGCTGACACATTACAGTAAAAGATATTTAACAAAGAATGATTTTTTTCCAGCTGTATGTAATTTATAGGACTATAAGGTATGATTATAGCAGTGTAAGTATATATATGCTAGAGCATTTACTGATTTATTGCAGTAACAAAAAATAACACCACTCACTAGAAAAGTTAACAGCCACCACCTTATAGAATAGGTATTTAATTCCTTTCCAAACAAGGAATTCACAAAAGTTCCCAGTTTTCTATTTGGTTCTGCCCTGTGCAGGTATACAGAGTATACAGTCCAGGATGCTCAGCAAGAATCTGTGCCCCTCTATTTTTGCTGAAGAGAGGAACACCAGACGTGTCAGAAAAGGCTGAACAGACCAGTGTGGGCATGCATGATTTTCCCCAAGGGTGTATGCAGATGTGTCCTATTCAACCCTTGCTTCCTGGCATGATGACCAATATTTTATGTACTTAAGGTTTTCTGGGGACTCTTCCTTTAGCTCCTGTCATGCTTAAAATCTTTTAGGATGAAAAAAATAGTGGCCTTTGCTCATGTCATAGTTCCTTCGCATCTTAAGATCTCTATCCCTCTGGAACAGTTTGTTTGAAGCCCTCAGGCTGACACAGTTGATCCTTATACTGCAGCCTCCCAGCTCTTTTTGTTCAGCCTTATGTTCTGCTTGACCTGAAAGACAGGAAGCAGGTGAGCAAAAGACAGAGTTTGTTTGAGGTTCGTACAGTTGTTATCTTTCCAGGCCTTTCTGCTTCATCTAAGGACTTGCCTGGTTCTGAAAAGGAGGAAGAACTGTAGATGCAGGCTCACCAGAGGCCTTGAAAAATCACTGCATCTCTGTAGTGGAGATGGTTACTAAGAGGGGAGGAAGAAGCAGGTGCTGGTGGTAGAAAGCTGATGTTTGCACATAGCTGTGGGAGTCAGGGCAGGAACCACAGCGCAGGGGGTTTTATAGTGGTTCTCAAGGCTTGAACTGCGGACTGTGTTGTTCTGACAGACATGGTGCCAGTATAAGAAGTTGTCTTCTGAAGAGAAACAAGGACAACGTGTTCAGAACTATTCTGTTATTATAAAAACACAAAAGGAAAGTAATCTCTGGAATCTGTGTAAGTGAAGAGGGCGCAGACACCAGAACCAGCAGTGCACAGAGCATTGCTGATTGCTAAGAACTGGGATTCTGGCCCAGTTTTACTACCCTTGAGTCACATGCAATTTTCCTGTAAACCAATTACATTTGGCATCATGTAAATATCATCTAAAGCCACAAATAGCAACATCTCATATTAAAATAATCAGAGTGGCCTAACCTTTGGGATGTATGAAAGAGTTCTTAAAAACTATTTGAAGTCATCTTCGAATTAATGCTTTTGGTCCCTTACTATTGGAAGGATTTGTCCAGGTACGTTCTTTTATTAATATGGGTACAATCATCATTGTTTTCCAAATAGATGAAAACAGCCAGTAATGATTAGTATTTCCTTTTATGATTCACATGGGTCACTTGTACTAATTATACAAGTTTTTAGTAAGGAGAACACCTATTTTTGCTAGCAATTTTGTTTTTAAATTACCTTTGAGCTACGTAGAACAGCAACAGCGTGTCACTGAGTGGCAGCATAGGAGAAAACTAGTTGTGCTTAAAAGCAAATGTTCACATTGCACCAAAGGGCTGCTAGCTCAAAGGTTAATCCTTTGTTTCTCTCCTGGACCGTATGCACAGACCTAGGGCTGGTGCCTGTCACACCGGGGCACTCAGTGGATGAGTGTTTTTCAGCCTAAACAGAATTCCCTTGTTTAATTTTTTTGAACAGCAGTAGAAACAAAGCAAAACAAAAACTAAAAAATCATTTTTTCCTGCTATCACACGGTCATGTAGGTCCCTCGCCTGTCACAAGCACAATAGTTATTTGTGAGGGGAACACGAAGCACCGGTGGTGTTTGCTGTACTGCTGCAGCAGGGACGCTCAAAGCAGCAGGCTCCAAACAACACTTTGCAGCACAACAGCTTCCCAACGTGTTTCATCTGATCGCTCATACATCTTTGCCGAGGAAATGGATGGTAATGACATTCAGGGCAGAAGGGTTCAGGGCTATGGCTGTTTCATTACAGATCATTCACAGAGAAACTGCCTCCTCTAATTTATTTTTTATCTTGATAAAATGACAGTCAAAAATCTTTGACATTGCAGGTCTACTTCACTTCTCCCTTGCCAAAGTCACTCCACTGGGTGTAGATGTCGGCTTGCTTTTGAGTACTTTCTGCTGCTTAGCATTAGGCTAAGGTAGTTTCCCCCTCAAAACATGTGGGGAACACTCATTTGTTCTTACAGTTTAACTCTGGGCAAAAATGAGGCAATCTGAACCCATTCCTGAACTGAATTCTGAGCTGTTCCTGTGTGACCTTGAGTAAGAAACTTCATCTTTCCATACCTTTGCTTCCTGGTTTGAAAAGAGAGCTTTCCTTTCCCTCTCATGCCCTCTGTGCCTTTCCTTTTCACACTGAATGCTCATAAGGCCAGAGGAATCTCTCATACCACATGAATATACAGATGGAGGCCTGCTCTTCCTTCAGACTAGTATGGTTTCTGTCATGATAGTGTTGTTGAATGACTGCCTAAGGGACATAGTGTCTCACGGGACACTGCTGGCTGGACAGTGCTATTAGCATTTCCCTCCTCACTGAGGTCCAGTGCAAGTCAGAATTCAAGACAGCTGAAGACTCTGGAGATGAGCTTAGCATTAGCATTGTTTGTTCTGATTGTTGATGTGCCCAAATTAAAGATGCAAAGCTGGTGGTACTTCAAAAGACAGGCTGTAGGTCTGTGTGGCATCCTGCTGTGAGCCTTCACTTGGTATCACTAGTTATTTAGTAATGCTTATGAAAATCTGAAGCCTTCATCCTAACTTGTAATGTACATGCTGAGTCATGGCTGTTTATCTTACCAGCACCACCACATTGCTGTTAATACACAGCCAAAATCAGTGCTGCCCTCCCCACCCCGGTCATCTGATATATAATTGCATTGTCTGTATGACAATTTCTGGGAGAAATCAGAGCCTTTTGTGCATTTTTAGATTCACTGCTTGAAACTCCATTAAAATGTATGGGGAAAAACAAAAGTTAACCCCTCCTTCATGAAGACACACAGCACAATA